ACACAATAATTGTCATTATTTCTTGCTTTTTAATAATCTTGCTTATTTTAAGATTTATCTTTCATAGGGAAGGACGTGTCGTTAATTCAGAGCCGGGGTAGCTCAAAACGATAAACATAAATTACATATTACACGAAGAGTAAGAAACCCGAGTTCGATCTCTGCCCGCACCACTGAAGTTATTAATCAAACTTGTGAATAATAATTTGTCAAACTTTTAAGAAAGCCTGCATGTTTAGGAAATTAGCAATATTTTGTGGATGCAAAGACTGCTCGATATTTCATATGGGAAACACTGTACTCACTACACTAAGCATCTTTCTGATAAAAAATTACAAATACTTTCACGAAATGTAATTTTTATCTTTTTAAATTTCAAATGGTAATTGTTAAATTTTTATTAACTGTACGTTGAATTTTGAAAAATTGTTTCTACGAATTATAGCGACAGGAGGATGAATTAGCACGACCACGCTTGCATACTATTATTTTAGAACTATTTTTATTACCCAAAAAAGTTAATTAGATATATAAAAGCAATTAATTTCAACATTTACATACCATTAAAAAGATGGCTGAGTACTATCATCTACTTGGAATCCTATAATAATTAAAATTAAAACCAAGCCCAAACATACCTTTGACAGACTTTAAGATAGTGTTAAATTGTAAGTACTGACAATTAGTCAAGAGATTTTGCTTAGATCGAACCAGAAATTTAAAATAAAATCTTGTACACAAATTAGTAGCTTAGAATTTTTATTTTTAAAGGAGCCGTTTAAGAAGCATTAGAGAAATCGTTATCCCATTTTATCCTGGTAATATCGTAGAGGCAAGTAAAGACCTAAGCTATAATGATTCCTCAAACAGATGACGGGTTTTATTTATTTTTATTTATTTATTTAAATTTTTATGCACAAAAGAAAAAAAAATAACGAAGTTCGGATAAACCAGAATATATACATAGAATATATTCTATACATATATCATAAAATGTAAATATATCAATACAGACGTACGCATACATAAATCTACTTAAATACATTAAATATATACATTATATTATATACATATATATACACATATATATTATGTGCCATGATAAATAAGGAAAATATGTGACGATAGAATTATTCTTTAGGAAAAAGCCTAATTCACACTTGCAAAGCTTTACTAAAATGATCACGAAGGTTTTACTGTTATATATTGAATTTATTTATACCAGATATAAAATCTCCAAATCGGCGACATGATGCAGCGTCACCGTGAAAGGAGTAAGACATCTGGTACTGCGATCTGCCAAGCGTGGCAATGACAACACGTCCTCCATAGTAATGGAAAGTCCTGACTATTAACTCTTAAGGAATATAACCTTTATAAAATGTCTGCTGATTCCAAATAAATTGCACGGTTAATACGCTGAAAACTTCGAGCTTGAGCAAATAATTGCAAGTTAAGCCTGCGGTGTTCGTTGCAGCTTAGTTTTTTTTATCAATTACTAGCTGGTACCCGGCGCGTTGTTCCCGTAGAAGACATAATTGTGGGAATATCATTCTAAATTCGTTAGAATTATATTGTTTAATTAGGAACGATAATGATGATGATCTTATCGGTACGATCCGCGCGCCACCTAGTATAAGTAAATGCAAGCAATACGTTGACAAAGTTTTACCACAATCTGGTGAACGGTATGGCAGCACATAAAATACATTAAACAAAAAAACATTAATATTTTATATATTAGAGAAGAAGATAAGCCAGTGCTTGACTCTATTCTGCCTGATGGTAAGTGGTAATGTAGTAGAAGATGGTGAAGCGCATTGACTTAACAAAAGTCTATTCAGTCTTGCCTTGAAGACACACTGTAATCGGATTGGTAGACAGACACTGACAATTTATGCCACTCCTCTACTCTACGCATGACCAATGATGTAGCAAACCGTTTGGTTCGAATGCATCGTAAGTCAACAACGAAAGAGTGGAGACTGACCGAGCGTCAGATTGTCCGATTGTGGAAGGAGGATGTAGTTAAAAAACCGTAAGAAAACCGAAAGATTGATTACTTTGCGCCTGTGTTCGAGGCTGGTGAGATTGGTTTCAGCCAGATTAGGGTCAACAATAATCCTCTTAGTACGCCTTTCCAAAGAGTCCAAAGCTGCTAGTTGGCATTTTGCAGCACCAGCCCATATATAGCAGCAATACTTGCAATTTATATAGCGTACGAGTAAGCAGCTGTCCAGGCGTGAAGTACCGCCTGAACAGTTACATATACAGCCGCACTTTTACAAGGACTCCTATAGCTTCCTTGCAGCTAACTTGGTGTTAGACTCAATGAACCACTCTCACAATGACTGAATAATAATTGTTGCCTTTTTATTATATCGAGAAAAATAAAATAGAAAAAAATGTAAATTATTTGAAATCCAAAGACGGCTACTTCATTATATTTACAATTAACTTTCCTACTTTACTATACTACCTACTTCATAATAATATTATGTCTACTTTATCATACTTATAATAACAGCGTAAAATAGCAACTTAATGCTGCTGTGCTGTGTTTCAAATGGTGAGTATAGAGAACCGGAGACCCTTTTTACTGGAAATGAGACATTCCATCTTAGTCCTCGCGGGTGACAACACATCTGCATTTTGACTCTTAATTGAGGATATGTGTAGATATCTATGGGCCACAGCATCCACTTACCATCAGGTGGAGTGTGTGGCCGTTTGTCACACTTATTGTATATAAAAATTACTCAAGAGTTTCTAGTGTTTCAACCGGACTTTCTCTACAAGGAGCATAAATTGCAGCGAAAATATATTTTAACCTGTCCTCGTCAGTCGTAGACACTCAGACATCGATGTGTATCAACAAATCCATGAATTTTACTAATCATTTTGTAAAATTTGTTCACTTATTATTCGCCAGAAGTTTTTTTTTTTATAAAACTTAATATTCAAATATTTATAATCTTATCACAAACTCACATAAAGATCTATACTTAATGCGGCTTATGCGTTATTACCACCACTCATTTTTTTTTAAATTAGAGTTTTTTTTAAATAAAAGACAAATTATCTAATAGCGAATAGATTTCCTATTCATTTGGTGCTCTTAATTTATAACATTCAATTGTTTTAATAACTCCGTTCGTTCCCGGTCTCAGGATGAGTACCATAAGGGAAACCTACACGTGATAATTTAATTACATTATTTTTTTCATTAAAAACCCTTTCATTAAACAAACAGACAAGAGAAGAACGATGATAGTCGGGATCTCATAGGTCCTATTAATCCAGAGATTATTACTTATTCTTTTGCAAGCAAGCATGATTTAAACAAAACTTTGTATGATACACTTCACATTTCTTTCATCCGTTTATAAAACACTTTGTTTTTAGAATCGCCACAATTAAATAAATAACAAAGAATTTACAAAATAACTTACAGTTTTATGAAGAAGCTTCCAAAGAAATGTTTTTATTTACAAACCGAATTCGTTTCATTTTACTTAGATAGGTTTTGCACAATCAGCATTAGCGTTCACTATTATTCTCATCACCACTCCTATTATATATTATGTTGTTCTAACACAGACTTGACATCACAGATCTCAATTTCACAAAGCACATTCGTATTTTGTTATTTAACACGTTTTCAATTTATCACCTTAATTTCGTTGCTTATTTTACGCCAGGTGATACGGATCATTCATAATGACCTATTTGTACTTTGTATCACAAACTGCAGATGCGTCGAGAAGTGCATCAACGAGTGCAATTCGTGTTGTCTGAAAGTCACCAATAAGCCCAATGAAGCAGAGATCCCGCTGGCGAGCGCCAGCACCAACCTAAATAGATCTGATCATCTAAATTGAGTTCAATTAAATAACAACCGAAATTGTTGAAATGCGCCATTACTCCCTCGACGCTAATCTAAGTGCCAATAGCCAGGGCGAATGTTTTATTAATAATCCCCAGCAATAACTGTTAATTAATAATTAAGCGATCGCCCCGTCGATTGACGGTTTCAGTGCGCGTGCGTCGTCGTCCCAGTGCGCGACTTGTTTTGTTGCATTTTTCAACCTTTTTTTAGTATATAATTGTATTATTTAGACATTACATACTTTATATTCATCTTGAAATATATATAAACTTTCTTATTTACTTTCTAAGTACTTCCGGCGTATTTGTCAAAAATATGAAATGCCTTTTTTACGTGTTATAATTTCCCACGACTATAAATCATGGGTCAGACACATACAAGAAGCATTGATACGGATTTACAATAAAGCGCTATAGAAGTACAAAATATAGATGTGGGTGTTTGCGCCCTATGCTGTAAAAACAAACAAAATGTTGGGTGAGTTTGTGGGAATCCCGCATGGTGCATTCAGCGGCTGTGTGGCCGTCGTTGCTTTAGCCCGCAGTTCGCGGCGGCGCGGCGTGTCGTGGCGCTACTAAGGGGTTCTATGTCTGGGGGAGTGGCCGACTTGCGTTGCTATTGGCTCTCTCTCGATTCAATATCACAGTCATAAGCGCCCGCCATACCCGATGTAATATCTCACGTCTGCCCTCACGCTACGAATGAAATTATCATTTAAGCATCCGCTTTCGACGGCGCAGTGCGTAGCAATCATTGGTTCAACTTGTCTGTCGAGAGCAGTATTATGATAATATAAATTGACCAACCGTAGAGCAAATTCGGTTAGTTCGTTAAAGTTGATTAAAGCCATTTAACCAGGACGGACACGAGGATACGAACGGCGCGAGCGTTGATCGAGCACACACTCGGGTGTTCGGTTAAATGAGTTAAATTGTTTAATATCTGTGTCGATAAATAAGTACTCAATCAGGACTAAGTGAGGCCGGGGCGTACGGCAGCTAGAGGTAGCGGCAGCGAGGCCGCTGAAGAAGAGTGCGTAGCCGTCGCGACGGAGCCGAGCGAGGTGGGCGCGGAGGTAGCGGGCACGCACCCGCCCGCCGCCGAAGGCTACATGTACGTGTGCGGAGACAGCGCCTCCGGCGCTGGTGCACGCTATGAGTGCGCCTTTGAAGCCGCCGGTGCCGGTGGCATGGAACAACCAACCTTTGAGGAGCACATGTTCAGCGACTTTGGCAAAGAACGCCATGTGCAAGTTGTAGTCGGTGCAGGCGGGGAGCTGCAATATCGTGACGAACTCCCTGTATTTGCAGCCAGTAACGACCAAAAGCGAAAAGAAGAGCCCTTATTGCTACAACCAGTTGAAACCACGCAAACACAACACACGTCGCATCACCCACCTCCGCCACCTCAGCCGACATCGAAGAAGAGTGACAAGAAAAAGAACGACAACAACGGTATAAAGAAGAAGAAAACCAGGTAAGATTTTCTGTGTGTACGTTAAAATTCAGAACTATAATGACCAATAACAATCCAAAATCATTTAATTATATCTAGATAAATATTTCCTAAAAAAATTTCGTAACGGAACTTTCTGATAAAACTTTATCATATTTTAGCGTTTAGTCATAAAATTTTATTATTGTATTCGTTTATCTATAAAGAAAAGTTTACTTAGCGTCTCTATAATTTAAAATGTATTATATTAATATTTACTTTTTTATATTTTTATATAACCCATATCGCAAAAGAGGCGACAGAAGGAAACAAACCACGAAATGAGCTGCAACGTCTTCCTAATTACAACTAGAAAATAAACACTGCGGTTGTTATACCGTCTGCCAACCATGGCAACTATAGCAAATATCCCTGTTATGATGCAATGGGGCATTATTTATTTTATTTTCTTGAGTTGAAAATAAGAGTAAAGCTGGTAAGAACATGCTACGCGCTACAAACATTCACGTTCGCTACGCCGTAGCTAGTTTAGTGTCGTCTCCAGTATTGCTACAAAAGTTCGGCAAAGACAAATGGTAAAATTAATGCCATCAAAAACATAGCTTGTAAAAAAAACCAAGTCTCACAACTCAGTTCTTCTAACGTAAAAAGTTGTGAGATCCATGTAATACCAAGTCGGTTAATTTATTCAGACCCTAATTAAGGGTCCTTCTGTCTTAAATTATTACGTAATTAGCTAACCTAACAACATCTTATAGTGACCATATCAATATTAAAAATCCTTTATGTTTTAAATAAATAGATTGACTTGGCCATCGCATGAAAACACAATGTATCTCACAAGTAATACATATTATATTAAATTGGATTGTATAGTGCGAATTTCAGGCAGGCAAAATTTCAGAAATTCAGGCTTATAGTTTAATCCACAACGAAGTTATAGGGGGTCGAAAATGGCCGGAATTGCTTCGAGAAAAGGATGGTACGGCCGTGCCGCTTTCTTGCTTGACTTGGCGGGGGCACTGCCGTGCCCCCAGAAAATTTTGTACAACCGACTTCAATATAAATTATTAAGGATAACTCAAAAACTACTGATCAGATCTTGATTAAATTTTATATGAGACCACATGAGAAGCACCTGCGTTCAAATAAAAAAAGAATCATCAAAATCGGTTCACCTAGAAAAATGTTATGAGGTAACATATAAAACATACAGTACCTCCCCCTTTTTGAAGTCGGTTAAACATTTAGGCAAAAGACCTAATTATTTCGTTTAATAGGAAGGCGTATTTCAATCTTTAAACTACAATAGCAAAAATAATTAAAAAATTGACATTATTCTGCAAGTTAAAAAACCGTTCGTAATCTCGTAGAAACGATACTGCTAGGGTCAAAAGTTATCGTTTCTTCAGCGGCAACCTTGTTCCTAGCAGCAAGCGCAGTTGACTGAGAACCGCGCCGTGGTAAGTAATAAGAAAGCCTAAAATTCTGCAGTGGATTTGAGATAAGCTGTAATGCTGATTATGATAATGCCATTTCCTTAATGAATATTATTAAAAAAAATTGCAATCTGTGTTTCTGTACTTCTGAAACTTTTATAAAAGTTAGGGTGAAGTGAAGTGAAGTCAATGCTATAGCCCATAGATACCTACATCTGTCCTCGGTTAATAATCAAAATGCAAATATATCGCCACGTCTGAGAGTGCAATTATGAATACCAATAAAAAATGATTGTAGCATAAAAATATAGAATGTTTGGCTTGAAACATCGAAGCATTATCCACCTTTTTTAACAATGTGTGTTGCATAACTAATACGATGAGTTTGTAAAAGCGGGAACAACATATGGCTTTATTGAGAGGGAGACAATTTTAATCGTTTTTTTTTTAACTTACTCAAGGTTAAATAAAATATGTAACGTAACATACACAAGCCTGTTTCCAAAAGAGGTAGGCAGAGACTAAGGTCTTATATTTGCCAAGATCGTGCCAAATGGAAGTCCTTAGACACCTCTCAAGATTCTTTCCCATCCTTGTCTATACCTACGCACATGCTCATTGACTAATGGTACTTTTAATTTGGCCTAATATTCAATATACCGCCAATTTGATCGTTGACTTGTTATTTACCAAAGTTGCTTATTTTATATCATCATCCTCATGATCAGCCTGTGGTAGTCCACTACTGGACTTAGCATCTCTTAAGGCGTGATACTCTTCTGCCTAACGCATCCAGTTGCTGCCGGTTACCTTACGCAGATCGTCGCTCCATCTAACCAAAGGTTATATACAATATATAATCACTACGTTTTACATCTAGTCAGGGAGCGTACCACACTGCGTTTACCTAACAGTGGTAGAGCCACGCGGCAGCTTTTGCTGTCGCACGGATGGGCCGGCTCGAACCGGGGTGGTACCACGACCTCACAGAATAGCAGCGTGAAGTAGAGGTTTACCTCTGCGTTTCGCTTGGTGAGTGCAGGTGGCCGGAGGCCCTTTTTACTGGAAATGAGGCATTCCATCTTAGTCCTCACGGGTGGCAACGCATCTGCATTTTGATTCGCAAACGAGGATAGATGTAGATGTCTATGGGCCGCAGCAACCACTTACCATCAGGTGGACTGTGTGCTCGTTTGTCACCCTTATCCTATTAAAAAAAAACCTAAGCGCAGTCTCTACCCTATGACACATCTTCAACGGTTGTTATTTTATATGGTCTAATTTTTAGAATAAATTATATGATACTATTGACAAAGTAACTTATTTAATTAATCGTTAGAGATTTTTAGTTACTTGTTTATCGTCAAACATTTACATAGACCCGTGGCGATGCAAAAACTATTTCAGAATAACAAAAAGGAATATCTAATGCTAACTTGGTCTTCAGATAGCCAATAATACTTAATAGTATAAGTTACCTACAAGATATAAATATGTGCGGCAGCCTATCATCAGATAATATGATGTATGATCTTCCGTTAATCGTGGAATAATAATAACAACTGATCACATTTTTTTATGATTTTAGTTTGTCGAAACATCAGTATTTTTTTTAATTCTGCGCCCCTTACTTAAAACTGTAAATTTCAATTTATAGTGTTTTCTTCGTGGAAATAACAAAAGCACTTGATGCTGGTAAAATTATATTACAAATAAATAGGCGTCGCATGGGTTGTAGTTAATTACCCGTATGTCCGCGGGGAGTCAATTGACTTATCGCATCATCTATAAGTCCAATAACGCGAGGGATCTTATGACATATTAAATACAGTGGCAATTCGGGGTACACTTTCTTACAGCCCTACATGAATTAACTGCATACAGTATAAAGATATTTTTATCATGTTGTTCATTTGTAATAAAGTATAAATATACATATTATATTACGTAAAAAGATTAATATAGATTCTTCAACGAGTATAAGGCTAATGATCATCTAGCCATTATCTTTCTTTTATACTATCGAAAAGGACTTCAACATCGTTTACTTTTATACAATTTACTGAATGACAAAGAGGCAGTTGTCATTAAGGAATTTAAATTTAAATTTCGATTACAGGATTTAAAAAAGTCCCCAGTGATCACGGGTGCTGGAAAGCACCCGAAACGTCGGGAATATAAAAATAGATTACGCGATAAAATCCGTAAAATTAGTTTTATTAAAAAACTGGTCAAAGTGCGTGTTAGGATTAGGATTAAAAATGCTACAGCTACATACATGTCGAGGAAATAAATTAATATTAATATAGTATGTTAGGGATGAAGCTGAATGACAGAGTGAGAAATTGTTTAATAAGAGAAGAGTGTGGTTTGCAAGATGATGTTGTGACCAGGATTAAGAAAGGAATGCTTCGGTGGTTTGGCCATGTAGAAAGAATGAATGAGGAAAGAGTGACAAAGCAAATTTATGTTGCAGAGGTGAACGGCATAGTCGGGAAGGGTCGCCCTAGGCGAAAGTTTATCGACCAAATTGGCGATATATTAAAAATGGGCCAAATCAAGAGTACCTTTAACCGACGAGCGTGTATGCGTAGGTATATGGATGTGGAGGAAGCGAGAGAGGTGTGTCAGGATCGTGCCAAATGGAAGTCCATAATCTCTGCCTACCCCTCTGGGTGACAGGCGTGAGTGTTTATGTATGTATGTATGTATATATATATATATATATATATATATATATATATTTGTATTATTTTGGTATTCTCAAATTGAATGCAAAATACATTCCAACAAGCAGTTTAAGTACTGTCAATTGATGGGCAATTAAAAGTGGTGGCGCGCGTCAGGGGTGAATTTCGTTTCACGCTCAATCAATTTCTGCGCGTGCGCCCGCAGCCATATTGCACGCGTCAGATGTTTGATGTGCCGCAGACTGATAAAAATGATTTGCATATCAATATTAACTGTCATTGAGTTTTTATTTTGTTACAGTTTTAACAACTAAAACATTTCTAAATAGGTAGTTTAAAAGAAACCTACTTCAGTAGCCAGTTAGCGTTTCTTCGGGTGAAATATATACCAAACATCTGAACGATAGCCAAAGATATAAATCTTTAATTGCTGGTCGTATGAGGAAGGTTTAGTTCGCTTAGCAATATATGGAGAGGGCTATGCTTGAAGTTTCTCTGTGCAATAAAATTCGTAATGAAGATATTGGTAGTAGAAGCGGTAACCGACATATCGTAACGGATCAGTGAGGGGCCAGACATACAGCTCGAAATAAAGACAACAGATTGGAGAATATAGGTTCTCGATTGGCTATACGATGACCTGGTAAAATTTGTAGGAAGTCTAGATGCAGATGGCAGGTGGTTCCGCAATGAACGTATGAAGGGCTGTAATGACGATCATTTAAAAATGTACCTCATTAACAATTGCGAATTTTTATGAAATTAAACATTATATTAAATTGTTTTTGTAAATTGCATACCTAGTTGATATATGCTGTGGGTTTGAAACCTAATTGGAGCTAATATTTGTTCAAAACCTCAATATTTTACTTCTGAATCTGGTTTTTTGTGATTTTCGAGTGTCTCTAAAAAGGCTCGTAAACAATCTCTTCTTCTTGTTCTTTTCTTCTGGATTTTCTTGGAAATTTAAAAATATCTTGTTGGAAATTTTGATAAAAATTATATCTCAGCAATATTGCAGACGATACTTTTTCTGTAATGTTACTGTGCAACACCTTGCTCTTGTAGAGTATTCCGGCAATATTGCATCAACTGTTTCGACGGACAGTTAAGTGTATAATTTGTGTCTAATTGCCCATCAATTGACAGTACTTAAAGTACTTGTTGGAATGTATTTTGCATTCAATTTGAGAATACAAAAATAATACAAATATATATTTTGCATGCCTTAAGCAAAAGCGCAAGGTATGTTCTACTATCGCCTAAAGATTAAGATTCCAACGTTTTACCGAATAAAATCGTATCTAGCAATCATATTATACATATAAATGATATATAAAAAGCACATTGTTAGAAAGATAAATGATTGTTGAACTTATTAATATTTTTTTTAAATCGATTAATTGCTATTTTTAAATAAAAAAGGTGTTTTAGTGGCTTATGGTGTGGATTTATCATGTCCCCAAGGCTTGTAAACACGATAACTTTTGAAAATAACAATTGTTTAACTCAATCTATTTTTTAATATCTTCATCTATCATGTGGGAAGCCACTGAATGTAAATGACAGTGTAATTTTGTTTTTTTAGCTATAATTAATTTTTTTCGGCTCCAAAATGGCGAAATTTTCGCTGATTTGGTAGCCTTGTATGTAAATTATTTCTGTAAATAGGGAGCTACAGCCACAGAGTAGTTTACTCACTCACTCAGTTCGGCGTCAGTCGCCGTCGTGAGTGGACATTGTTTCGATTGTTTTCAGAGACTCAAAAAGATCGCTGTACAAATACACAATATTCGAATAACCAAATTTCTTAATTTTCTTTTATAGGATCGGGTGACAAACGAGCACACAGTCCACCTGATGGTAAGTGGACTGTGACCCATAGACATCTACATCTTTCCTCAATAAAGACTCAAGATGCAGATGCGTTGTCACCCGTGAGGACTAAGATGGAACGCCTCTTTGCCAGTAAAAAGGGTCTCCGGTTCTCTACACTCACCATACGAAACACAGCAGCGTTAAGCTGCTATTTTACGCTGGTTTTCTGTGAGAGTGTGGTCCTTCCCCGGTCGAGCCGACCCATTCGTGCTACAACCATAATATAGCTGCAGCATGGCTCTACCAAGTAGAATACTTGATTACAATAATAATAAGAGATTTTTTTATTACAATATTTTAAAAGCACAGAATAAATAATAGTAGTACGTACTAAAAGTAAGTAGTATCAATTTTTTCATCATGGGTGTCATTTTCATGGGTTTCGAGGGTGTTGAAGCCGATAGTGCTGTCGAATTGTAAAACCAAGATGGCGGCTGCAATATGTATCAATTTTTTCATCATGGGTGTCATTTTCATGGGTTTCGAGGGTGTTGAAGCAGATTGTGCTTTCGAAATGTAAATCCAAGATAGTGGCTGAAGTAGGTACTAATTTTTTCATCATGGGTGTCATTTTCATGGTTTTCGAGGGTGTTGAAGCCGATAGTGCTGTCGAAATGTATTTAAACTACTTTAAATAATTCCGTATAATCATGTTATACTTACGTAATTTTTAATGCGCTTAAGGAATGCCCAATTGGATTTACCAATTTTTTTAAATTTATTTCCTCGACATGTATCCACCTAATCCTAACTCGCACTTTGGCCAGTTTTTAAATACTATGATCGAAATATAAATTCCTTAATGACAACTGCCTCTGTGTCATTCCTTAAATTGTATAAAAGTAAACGATGTTGAAGCTCTTTTTGATAATATAAAACAAAGATAATGGCTAGATGATCACTGACCTATGTGAATTTTTTACGTGGTAAAACCACGCTGCAGCTATACATCAGTCAATCAGGTGGACCGTGTTGTTTTTCACCCTGTTTTCTATATAAAAGCAACATTGTGGCTCTAACCTAAGCAACATTGTGAAATAGTTGACTACTTGACGGCAATACAATTGCTGTCATAAAATAAGTCCTTTACTAGCGCTTTTATAATCCACTACCATTTCTTATAAGTTTGTGTACTCCACTAAACCTACTTCTGATCTTTACGCAATTGTGTAAACTTATCATAGATAATATATGACGTTTCCCGCGCCGTTGATAGTTGCTATACTTATTATAAATTGTTTCGAGGTCGAAAGTCTAACGGCTCGGTAGCGCCGCATCTAAGAGGCCGCAGATTCGAAACCCGCAGGGTACAAGTGTAATATAATAATATGTAATATGCTTCCACTATATAGAAGAAAGGTGGCAATTGTTTAGCTTGATATAACTAGACTGTTAAATGATTGGATAAACTCAAACTTATTATAGTAATAAATAATGCTTATTTTTCAGGACAACATTTACTGCATACCAGCTAGAGGAACTAGAGCGAGCATTTGAGCGGGCGCCCTACCCCGATGTATTTGCGAGGGAAGAACTGGCTTTGAAATTGAATTTATCGGAATCACGAGTACAGGTAACTATTTTCAAGTTAAAATTTCTATCATTTTAATGTTTCATTTGTCGACTTAACTTTAGTTAAGTTTAAACAAAATTTTATTATCTAAATATTTAACACATAAACTATTTTTCGCCAATTAAAAAAAATACAATTATTATTATTAAGAAATAAATTGGGTCACGTAATAACTTTGTTTATTTTTAAATAAATCCTAATTTTAACGTGTTTTCTACTCTACAGGTATGGTTCCAAAACCGAAGAGCAAAATGGCGTAAGCGGGAGCCCCCAAGAAAAACTGGATACATTGGCTCTAGTTCCCCAAGCTCTACTACATTAGGCGGAGGTTTCTCGGGCATTGGAGGGAATTTACCTGCATTTCCACAGAATGGTCTGCCAGCTCCAGCTGATTCGTGGTCTTATCAACACTCGTATGAGTTATCATCGCATCATTTACTATCCTCAGGCGGTAGCGGCTATCCTGCATTTAATTCTCAACCTGCAGCATATTCCTACACGACAGTCCTCAATGGGCACGACGGGCAAATGTTTGCACCACGACATTCCTATGAATACGGTGAGGGTAGTCCGCCTCCTATAGGCGTGCGTGATTACCCTATGATAGCAGCCCATTCACCCCAAATGGAAGGTCATCCACACGAGGATAAGTTGGATTACCGTAGCCATGAACATGAAGATAAATATTCAGCGTGTGCTTTGCAAGAGGAGCCCCCTCGTTACGCAGCGCCTCCTGAAGACTATGAAAAGTGCGGTATGGTTCCCCATGATAAACATTATGAGATGGATCGGCACTCCGAACTCGCTCCTCCAGTCGTTGTAAAAATGGAACCAAGTCAAAGTCAAGCTTACACATCCTTGCCCCCTTTTTTGAACTGAAATACTCCTTTTCGAAATTAACCTAGAATTATGTAGGTATAATTTCGAAAAGGAGTATTCGGAACGGAAACAATATTTTTTTCATAAAAATTTAGCATTTTACTTTAAATTACTAGAATAATGACAAAAGCAATTTTTTTTATAATACGAATTATATATTCTGTAACTATTAAAGATTTATGATGAATAAGAAAACGAAACTTGACTATTTTTAAACTTTTAAATAGGATATTAAAATATAAAATCTGAACTAAGAATATCAGTTTATAAAAAATGCAATGTAAATAGCTTTGGCCATAATCAAACCTTAAACACGATTTAACGAATTGATATTGTGACAAATATTTAATGAACTCGAAACAAACATACCACAAAAATTTATACGGTACTAATTAAACTGACTTGTATTTAATAACATTATATTTCTCTAAAAATCTACATTGTCCTCTGAATTACTAAGTTAACCACGATTAATTAATGCGCGTCTGAAAAATACGTATCTTAGCCACTATATATAAAGCTATGTAAACTACTGTAAATAAACAACAACTCGAAATGGTAGTTATTTCTAGCATGTACATTTGTAACATATAATTAAACGTGGTAGAGCCACGCTCCAGCCATATTATGGTTGTAGCACATATGGGTCGGCTCGACCGGGGTAGGATCACGCTCTCACAGAACACCATCGTAAAGTAGCAGCTTATTGCTGCTGTATTTCGTATGGTGAATGTAGAGAACCGGAGACCCTTTTTACTGGAAACGAGGCATTCCATCTTAGTCCTCAGGGGTGACAGTACATCTGCATTTTGATTCTTAATCGAGGATAAATGTAGATGTCTATGTGCCACAGCATCCACTTAACACCAGGTGGACTGTATGCTAGTTTGTCACCTTAATTCTATAAACAAAGCAGTAAACTTACTAAAATATCTAACCTAACCTAACCTAAAATGTTGGTGACTTGTGAAGTCCGTGGCTGAGTTAGTAAATTAGGCGGTGGTGTATAAATCTGTGAAAGTTATACATATGTAGTGTTTCCTTAATAAATAAACAGTAAATAGATCACTAATTGTATATCGGCTTTTTTGTTTAGCAACCTGCAAGTCAGATAGTTTTTCGGGGTATAATTCCAACCTAAATACATACCTTTATTGTAAATGCACGTATATTTTTTTTAATATGGCGCCTGGTAAATAATCTGTATATGTTTTAAATTTATTCCTGTTTTTTATATCATTGAAATGATACATATTTTTGATAAGAACAAAAATGTACCTACATATTTGCATTTAACAGACTATAGTTGTATTGTATGAAATAACTTTTTATATATATAAAACTAGCTGACCAGCCAGACGTTGTTCTGCCCTTACTAACGACCATGTGTCCTAAAAAAAATTCAGAATAAAAAATTGAGGGTCACTTATCGGGATAAAAACTATCCTATCTCTCAAGTTGGACCAAACTGCACACAGTGTGCAATATTTCATTGAAATCAGTTCAGTAGTTTAGGAATTCATCGCGGACGAACAATGTGACACGTCACTATTATATATAAAGATATATTTTAATTTATTTATCATTTACAAATGTACATCTACAATTACATATAGTATCCGTATAGTAAATCACAAAGGTTTCTAATTAAAATTGTACCGATAGTCTCACAGTTATTTTATATTACTAATACTATAAGATTCAAGTGTGGATGGATGTTGACACCCCTTAAAAATGAATATTCACTCATTTATTCAAGTTTTAAGGGATCGCCACCCCATGCAACACCTACAGATGGCTTAATTGTACATATTATCTTAGGTTTTTGCATGCGTTAAGAATGCGTTGATACGCATTACCAAATGTTATATTCTTGTGCATTCCTTGTGCCTTATTAGGAAATTATATCTTCGACCTTATATATATTTAAGTTGTAATTTTTATAATTGTTTGGCATTTTTAGTTATGTAATAAGCTTAAGTTATAAGATAGCTAAAAGTTGTAACTAGTTGTGCGAGTTTTAGTTTTCATGATTATCTGTTTTATTACAATAATTTTATAAATATTATGAAACATTTCGGAAATTTGGAATATGCAACTTTCAGCAGTGGACAGTACTAAATCTAAACTTAATTCGATAAGATATTGTTTTAAATGTTGTTAAATACGCAAGTAATTACACATACTTTTAATATACAATATATTACAGTTTAAAGATGGTATTATGTCAATTTACTCGTATGAATGAAAGATAAAAATTTCAGCTCAATCGGTTGAGGATAACAGATTTAAAATTCAGTTGCAAGATTTTACCCTAACAAATATACATGGCGAGTTAAAATAAAAACTTTTAAAAAAGAAACTTTATTTATTTGTGTACTGTACTAGTTTCCGCTTCCATTTATATTTTAAGTTTTCAATGTAAACAATACTGTCGCTAGAATTACCCTTAAATTTGTGGTTTTTGTTTAAACAAAGGGAATTATTAGGAACCTGTATTTTTAAGGTCAATGCCATTAACGTTAAAGATACCAAAGCAAACCAAAATTTAGAATTTAAGTAGTTATGTAAGTGCGTATGAATTTGTAGGACAAATTAAAATAAGCTGATTTTGTAAATGTAGTAAATATGTGATGTCGAATTACCTATCAGTAATTATTTGTAAATATTCGATGTAAAACGTGAATATTGTGCCAATTTAACTGTAGTAATCAGAATTGTAGATTATTTTGATATAATTTTATAAAGTACGAATATTTTATAACATAAAAAGGGGTTTTATTAATATCTACATATAAGGAAAAATAAAATATAATCTATATAGTTTATAAAACGAGAGATATTGGTTAAGAAGATTTTTTCTAAAAGTTCAGATAGAAAACATAAATTATTGCAGGGATAGTTACTTTACTTTGTTTCTTTTTCTTAATATTTTAAAACGTATTCTTTAGAAGTTGATACATTTTTTTAGAAAATTTAAAAAGTGCATAAAAGATAGCATAATTTTTATACTAAAATTGTCGGAAGCAATAATTTCGAGGTCAAAATGTATTAAATATTATATAAGTAAAAATATAGTAACAAAACTGAAAAAAAAATACATACTTTTGTTTTATTTTCAACTTCGATAAATAACGTATATAATGAGCATATGTCTTAAAAAAATTCTAACATAATTTAGGCTTGTGTCAGTTATGCAGCATTTGTTGATTTAAATTAGATGATTCAGTTTTTGCTCCATCCTGTTTGCTCCAAATACCATCACCACTGAAATGATATCTCTTTTCAATTTCATACAAAACCAAACTCAAAATCTGGTTGTCGGTGAGATCCGAATAGCTCAAATTATTATAGCACCCGTCCAATTCTACATCTATATTCTTCGCTTCGTTATGTTTTCGTTTCATCAGGAAAAACTCCAAATATTGTTTAGTTTCGGTACTGAAAGTTGAAAGAGAAATAAAGGACACTAAAAAGATAATGACAGTAAAATCATAATAATATATTGTCAGACGAACAAAGGAAGGTAGACTTAACATAATGTAAGAACACGCACACATACGCACCTAAAACCATGTTGTTGGTTGCAAATGGTTTTAAGTTGCATATGTGAACGTGACTGCATGTTCTTAAATTAAACTGAGCATAGTTTCCGGGTCATTTGAAATATTCTGTTGTTCTTGTTTTTCTCTGTTGTGTCTGTGTCGAGTTTTATCTTTTTTTTTGTTGGTCTGAATCGGTAAAATAATAAACTATAAGCATCATGTATTATTCATAAACAACAATATAGGTACCTAGTATGTAAATATTTAAAAAAAAAAAACTTCTGCCAGCTGGGCATTCTGGTTTCACTAGATAAGTGAAAGAACGTACGAGAATGAGTTAAAAATAACTTACAGCGGATACAGGAGTATTTGGCAATTATTCACAATAACGTCGCCGTAGAAAATCTCGTTTAGATATTGAAGATTCTCATTTATGATATAAAGTGACGAATGCAGCCAATATTTATGTTTTTTAAGTTGTTGTACAATAGCTTTCCTCAATGTCGATTGTTCATTCTCTTTATTTGTCGCAGAACTATCATAATTCTTCACTTGTTTTGTTTGTATACAACTGCTAATCAGTACTGCAATATCCCTACCGCAAACTTTATTCCCGAAACTATTTATGTAACTGGAACAATCAACAACAATATCAATAACAATATATCCGTCCGCCCGTTTTCTGCGATCCAAAAAGTTTACATTTATTTGAACGTATAAAACATTTTTGAATAAATAAACAAAAACAAAAATCCAAATTACCAAAGTTTAAAAACATAAATTTCATAAATCAATATTAACATATTCTTCGGTCATTATTAAGGTATCTTTCTGTTCAAAATTTTTTCATCATTATCAGAGCCCATTAAATGTCTACAGCTCAAGAAACTGCCATAATATACGTCTTTAGCCCGCCACAAGTCATCATTCACTTTTACTGTCAGTGGTTTGGCTCACTAGGCTATGAAATAGGGAACCAGTTGATGTAATTCTGAAGCTAATAAAAAAAACTCGGTCTCGATATGTCAATTTTTTCGGGAGTTATCGTGACTACATACAAAATCAAAGGACGTCCACGTAAATTTTTTTCAAACAGTTTTTTTTTAAGTAGCAATATAAAATGATTTTTTAGAAAATATAAGAAAGATTAAATAGTGTTTTCTTGATATACGGCTACTCATATTATCATAAAGTGAAATATGGTTATAATAAAAACACAAAACTGCTTGACTTTGACGTGTCGAGAATAAAGCACTACATTTCTTCATTTTCTACTTCGCGTAATAAGGCGAGCAAAATTAGTGTTATATTATTTAGTTATCAACTATACTAATTCTATAGCGCTATTTTGAGTAACGTGTGCTTTGTAACTGACGCAGTTGAGATAGATTTGAAAAACATAAGCAACACATTATTTTCCTTTCCTTTTCAGCATAGTGGGGCCATGTTACAGCAGACATAACATGGTCGTAGCACTCTCAGCTATAAGACCGGCCTTATTGATTCTCGATCCTCCAGTGAAAGCCTCGTACTGGTAAGCGAAATGTAGCGGCTCTCCACCAAAATAGTAACGATCTAGTTACGGCTTAGGCTTTGTTGAGCAGTGAACTTGGTGGTTGGAAAACGGAAGGTGTTGCATTTATTAAATGCTTTCATACTCACTTATTAAAAACCTTTGTGGATGCCACGAGGTGGTTTAGGCTATAGCACTGCTTTTTTGCCGATTGAATTTTCTCCAGACGCGACAGCATTTTTCTTTTGTGCACAACCAACGATAAAACCTAAAGATAGAAATGTTAATGATTATCCATAAATTTTTACCCTGAATGTCTGATTGATATAACTTGAGCGTTATTTATTATAACGCGGATTTATGACACATATGCATATTATCTGTAGGTACAATATAATTACTATCACTAGTCTGGTATTGTTTTGTATTGTTTGTGTGTAAATCATCGGGCCATTTTTCTTCGAGAATGATCGAGGTGCAACGGTTACAGTGACGAGCGAGCGGTATATCGACATGATTAATAACTTTTTTTGTACCGCAGCTGCAAGAAGAGGATGTTGATGAGTCCGGTGTATGGTATTGTTTGTGTGAGCCCTGTAGTGGCAACGAAAGAGAATCCAATATCCCATACCGTCCCATTGGTGTCGTATGTGGCAACAGAGGGAAATGAAACAGATGAGCGGCAGCATCTTCCTAATAACAATTCAAAGTAATAGAAAACTGCGGTTAAAAACCCATCTGCAAAACGCAAATGCAGGAAGTAGATTTTTCACAGGCTGTGTTTGATGATGACTTTACATGTCCTCGAGATATTCTATTCTTCAGACATGCAGGTTTCCTCGCCACGCTTACCTTCACCGATAAATCAGCTCTTAAATATCATTGGTCCATCAGAGATCGAACCTGGGTTGCTCGCGTATTGCTCCGTTACAATTTCGAAAATGAAAGGAGGCCTATGCCCAGCAGTGTGACGTATATAGGTATTTTTACGATATAAGTATAAATAAAAACTTTTGTAAAAGTTAATTTACTTTCCACAAATGTACCATGGATGGACATTCCAGCAAGACTCTGCTCCTGGTCACAAGGCAATAAGTACAGAACCTGACTCGAATATAATGTTTCGCATTTTTAGTGCGAGCTGAAGACTGGCCCTCGTTCATTCCTGATCTGAGCGCTACTAGAGGAGATAATCTGCTTCAAATCACTACTTGGTCACTGAGTCTTCCAATATTTTTTTTAAATATAGCTAGCAGTGGCTAAATTCCTCATGGAGACAGTGCATAAACTCATAGACTCGAATAATTCGATATGTACTACTAAGTACATACATGTAAATAAAAAAAAATAAAAAATTGGTAAATCCAATTGGGCATGCCATAAGCGCATTAAAAAAATTACGTATAACATGATTATATGGAATTTTTTAAAGTAGTTTAAATACATTTCGACAGCACTATCGGCTTCAACACCTGCGAAAACCATGAGAATGACACCCAAGATGAAAAAATTGACATCTATTGCTGCCGCCATCTTGGATTTACATTTCGACAACCCTATCAGCTTCAACTCTCTCGAAAACCATGAAAATGACACCCATGATAAAAAAACTGATACCTATTGCAGCCGCCTTCTTGGATTTACATTTCGACAGCACTATCGGCTTCAACACCCCCAAAAACCATGAAAATGACACCCATGATGAAAAAATTGGTACCTAATTGAGCCGCCATCCTGGATTTACATTTCAACAGCACTATCGGCTTCAACACCCTCGAAAACCATGAAAATGATACCCAAGATGACAAAATTGATATCTATTGCAGCCGCCATCTTGGATTTACATTTCAACAGCACTATCGGCTTCAACACTCTCGAAAACCATGAAAATGACACCCATGATGAAAAAATTGGTACCTAGTTCAGCCGCCGTTCTGGATTTACATTTCGACAGCACTATCGGCTTCAACACCCTCGAAAACCATGAAAATGACACCCATGATGAAAAAATTTATACCTATTGCAGCCGCCACCTTGGATTTACATTTCCACAGCACTATCAGCTGCAGCACCCTCGAAAACCATGAAAATGACACCCATGATAAAAAAAAATTGATATCTATTGCAGCCGCCATCTTGGATTTACATTTCGACAACCCTATCCGCTTCAACTCTCTCGAAAACCATAAAAATGACACCCATGATAAAAATAATTGATATCTATTGCAGCCGCCATCTTGGATTTACATTTCGACAACCCTATCGGCTTCAACTCTCTCGAAAACCATGAAAGTGACACTCATGATGATAAAATTGATACCTATTGCAGCCGCCATCTTGGATTTACATTTCGACAGCACTATCGGATTCAACACCCTCGAAAACCATGAAAATGACACCCAATATGAAAAAAACTGATATCTATTGCAGCCGCCATCTTGGATTTACATTTCGACAGCACTATCGGCTTCAACACCCTCGAAAACCATGAAAATGACACCCATGATGAAATAATTGGTACCTAATTCAGCCGCCATCTTGGATTTACATTTCGACAGCACTATCGGCTTCAACACCCTCGAAAACCATGAAAATGACACCCATGATGGAAAAATTTATACCTATTGCGGCCGCCATCTTGGATTTACATTTCGACAACCATATCGGTTTCAACACCCTCGAAAACCATGAAAATATCACCCATGATAAAAAAAATGATACTACTTTTATTATGTACTACTATTATTTATTCTGTGCTTTTAAAATATTGTAATAAAAAAAATCTCTTATTATTTTTATAATCAAGTATTTAAGAAATTTGGTTATTTGAATATTGTGTATTTGTACAGCGATCGTTTTGAGCCGCTGCAAACCGAAACAATGTCCACTCACGACGGGGACTGTCGCCGAACCATATAAAAAGTACTCTGTGCGCCGAACTGAGTGAGTGAGTAAACTACTCTGTGACTGTTGCTCCCCATTTACATAAATAATTTACATACAAGGCTACCAAATCAACGAAAATTTCATCATTTTGGAGCCGAAAAAAATTAATTATAGCTAAAGAAAACAAAATTACACTGCCATTTACATTCAGTGGCTTCCCACATGATAGATGAAGAGATTAAAAAATAGATTGAGTTAAACAATTGATATTTTCAAGTTATCGTGTTTACAAGCCTTGGAGTCATGATAAATCCACACCATAAGCCACTAAAACCCCTTTTTTAATTTAAAAATAGCAATTAATCGATTTAAAAAAAAATGATTAAGTTCAACAATCATTTATATTTCTAACAATGTGCTTTTTATATATCATTTATATGTATAATATGATTGCTAGATACGATTTTATTCGATAAAACGTTGGAATCTTAATTTTTAGGCGATAGTAGAGCATACCTTGCGCTTTCGCTTAAGGCATGCAATATACCAAATGTCTACCGTGTTGTTGTACAGGACTCCTGCTACTCCTGTTCTACTCCAGTAGGCCATGTACCTGACCTACGCAAATTAAATCAGCAGACTTTTAAGTCTACAGCCGGATGTCCGAGAATATGCAAGCTGTCATGCATTTTTTGGAAGATTTGCAAAAACTCACCCCGCAAGGATAGTATGCGAAGGCTTTGATCTGTAACTATAATGGCTCTCTATATCTTTCAGATTGGAACACAGCAGTGCACGCACTGATGTGGCAGAAATAGGTAGAAGGGTGGTACTTACCCAACCACTTAGTAAATATAATAATAATACCCTCCACACCGAATTTCGGTCACGGCGGCCAGCCTCAACGGAGACTAGCTAACGGCGCAATACAGGATTATAGTGCCCAAGTGTACGCACCAGCACAGGTGCACTCTCTATTCCCGCATTCTCATAGTCCGATGGGACAGTAAACGGACACGATCGGAGAGAGATCAGGCACAGGACCAACGGCTTTACGTGCTTTCCGAGGCACAGGGATGAGACACCGCCAACTTCCTGACTCCGGGCAGCTACTGAGAATTTATTGATGGAAAAGCTCAATAACTAATTTATTTTTGGCCCGACCCGGGATTCGAACCCGGAACTTTATGATCAGCAGTCGCACTACTACAAACAGTAGACCAACAAGGTAGTCGGTGATAGTAAATATGCACAAATAGTAAAGCTGCAAATAAAAAGTAACAAACCTAAAGTAAAAGTACCTTACCCTAGGATTTGTTGATAAAATCTGATACTCCTTTAATTCTTTAAGTTGTTCTAGCCTTTCCTGAATTGTTTGTGGGCACATACAGTAAACTTTTAAACAAATTCTCTGAGCCTCTTCTGATATTCCATTGGTCTAATAAAAAAAAATAAAAAAATAAGGTATAAGTACATTTTTTGTTTTATTTTGTTATTACATATTACTTAATCTAAAATATGATTGTTAATATACATATCTAAACTCACATATTATAGCTTAAAACTTACTGCATACACACAATTGTTAAATAGATTGCACTGTTTAATAAGAGTTTTGTGCTAATGATTTCATGACAGTTACTTTTTTTTAAATACATGCAATGCTATTAACGTCACTAATATTATCTTTAACCACTCGCTAAGCTGAAAATGCTTGTTAGAAGTGGTACACGACAGTAGTCGAATGGTGGATTCGAACCCACAACCTTTTGAGTTCGCAGTCTGTACCCTGCCATTAGGCTACTGTCGCCTTAACTTAACTGTTGTTACTGTTTGGTTGATAGTGACGCGCATTCAGTCGATCTAATCACTATCAATTTACTAATACTTACTACAATTTAATAATACTTCTGAATTTTTAGAAGATAAAAATATAATATAATATAGATATGTAAATATAAATATGTTAGGTAATAATGAAATGCCATCCTACTAAATAAATTACAATAAAAAATCCTAATAAAATTAAAAATGATTCAAATAATTTAAAAAAAAATCAACTGTGCTAATTATACTAATTATATTATACCTTAAATGTCAAAATCAATTCATTAATAAATAATAACAATTATAATAACCGTATTTAAAATTCAATGTGTGTATGTTTAAATAATATAATAAATATTTATATTAAATAATTATTTAAAAATAACAATAATTATAATAATAAATATTCCTCCTTCATAATATTGCTGTGCCCATAAGGGCCCATAGAAATACCATTAAACTATGTAACACCTTTTGTAACCTAAGGAATGCAATAAAGTTATTGAGTATTGAGTACTAGTTTTCTCTATCCTAGGTTTACTTTACAGTACTAAATAATTTAAACTTCAGTAATAAATAACCGTATTGCTTAATTAACAAAATACGAAAAGAAGGATGTTGCTTTAATTGTGCTAGTGTATTACTGTACTGTATCACCTCGCAATACATGGTGTAATATAAATTCAGATGTAGGTCGATAGTTGTTTTACTGATTAATCGAAAAGAAATCAATGTGAATTTTATTGAATTTCTTTTGTCTATCTACCATCAAGTTGATAAAATATGGTCTTCCATACAATCCCATAGACTTTTCACATACATCAAGCATCAATTAAAAATTCTATGTATGCCCCTAACATAAAGCTTATTTTAAATATTAATTGCCTTTGAACTTGAAATAACATTCAAAATATTCACTATTAGTATAGAGAAGTTCACAGTTAGCACATGTTTTTTACCACTTTGCCCACCACGAATTACACAATTGTGTACTACAAACTTATGTGTTGTTTGCTTAATCACTAACTTCTGAATGACAATGAACCAATCAAGCAGCGGGATTGTTGCTGTCCACATGATTCACCTCAGAGGAATAACCAGAACCAAAAAAAAAATTACTGTGCATTACATGCCTGTTGCTAATAAACAAGATATTCCTAATAAAAACATAAATTAAAACATTTTAAAGCCCCCAAAACAAAAAGAGCTAGTGGTCTTCAAACGGCTGAACAGATTTCTTTATGCTGCAAAGAGAACAACTTACTACATCATTTATAAAAATGTTGAATAGAGTTGGCCCTAAGTGTGAGCCCTGTGGCAGACCTGAATATGCTATAAATGCCTCAGATTGAAATCCATTTATTACACCCAAGAACACTCAATTAAGGCACCTTTCAAACGAAAAGGACTTAATCAAAATCAGTTCAACTGTTAAGGAGCTATGATTCCACAGATAGACACATAGATACACAGATAAATAGATACACACTACAAACATATAACGTTTTTGTCGAGGGTTAAAAATTACTTTTTGAATTATTATTAAAATAACTACGAAAATAGCAAATAAAATTAAAAGATAAACAGCATTTACCTGCAAAATATTTTTTATTTCTAATAAAGAATTATAGTTATTTTTTAAAATAGCCGGTTCAATTCTTATGGCCTCTCGAATATCATATCCAGCCAATGTTTTCACATTTTCAAGTATAAGTTTTGTATTTGTTGGATCCGATGATATTATGAAACCATTTCTTCTTATACTGTCTACGTTAAATTTAATTTCATTTTGTGCAATATTTAACGCTTCAGATATATCACACATAGGTCTATGCCGTAATGGTAAATAATTTCTGCAGTACTTTTTGAACTCATCTGTAGTTACTGAGAGTCTCCACTGAAGATATTTTTCTAGAACACTTGTTCTAACTGTCACTGAAATACTCAGATGGTATTACTGTGTTGAGAAATGTTTGTTTATAATAATAAATGCCAAAAATATTTTTTTATTTTTTTATAATATTCTATTAGAATTGGCAATTTAGATGTAATATAAAATATAGGTATATGAAAAATTAACATACATATAGAAGTGCTTGAATCTGAAAATTCATTTAAATGCTTTTGATTTTTAGGCCAATCTAAAAAACAGTTTTGCAAAACTTCTTCTAAGTTGAGATCTTGTCTTAGAAGACCTTCTTTTTTTAAATAAGCTATGGTCCTTGATCTTACAATGGTATGATATCTGGAAAGAAAAACCATAATCATGAACATACATATTATATTTTAGCCTGAACTGTTCGAGCAAGTACAACCTAGTGGGTTTGCCAAGTGAACATCTAGATTAAAAAAAAATGCAAATTAATCACTTCCTTGTCTAGATATAAACATATCTGAGAAAATCACTTATACAATATAGTATTATTATATTACACAGACAAGTGTGTATTTTTATTATTAGGTCTTAAATTACAGTGAGAATTCTTTTAACTCCGCCATTGCCGGTCCCAAGCACGGATGACAAAGGAGGAGGGGTGGTTCCACCGGAGAGAGTGGATGTATCCGGTGGACTAACACACCCACCTGCGCTAGGACCTGCGCAGTCGAGCACCGTACGCAGGGATGAAGGAGTCCTGGAGGGTTGACCCAACCGTCACACAACACACTATATAGGGGCGAGAGACAACACGCCCTCTTTGGTCCGGATTTCCATACTTCGTACTTCTCCTACCCGGGGTACAAATTGGAGCACTCCTTTGTGCCTCGGGCTGGAGTTTGCCTATACGTCAGAGAGGACATCTGTTCTCAACGCCTCAGCATTCTTGAAGGTTCGGACCTGTCCATCCTTTGGCTACGCGTAGACAGCGACGACCATCCGCGCGTCTAAGGGTGCCTCTATAGGTCCCATAACGGTAATGCCGAAACAGACCGACTCATCAGTAGGACAGTTGGCGACAGTAGGAATTTATAAAAGTAGGCGAAGGTTATACGAGCTTTATGATGAAAGATCATATAATAGTAGTGTTATATTTAGAGATTATGTAAAAACATATTCTAAAATATTTAAAAAAGTGTGCTCCACTGCTAAGGCTTTACATTTAAGCAACAAAATTAAAACTGCATCCGACAAAATTAAAATGACCTGGAGAATAATAAATAGTGAAACGGGCAAGGTCAAACCGCGCAACTCGGATTTTCAATTGAATATTAACAATAATTTAACGCGATCTGATCAAGAAGTTGCTATGGCTTTTGAGAAACATTTTACTGATGTTCCTTGTTTGACAACAAAATCATTAAATTCTTCTCCTACTGTCGCCGAATCATTGCTCAAACAAAATGTAAAGGCTTGTTCAAATACTTTTAAATTCCATAGGGTACTGCCAAAAGATATCGTTAAATATTTTAAAACTATTGATGTTAAGAAAACGGCAGACTTATGGGGGATTTCCGTTAAAGTTATTTTATCTATAATAGATACATTAGCACCTTATCTAGCCACTATATTTAATATAAGCGTCGAATCTGGTGTGTTTCCTGATTTAATGAAACATAGTAAAGTCATACCTATATTTAAATCTGGTAGTACATTAGACCCCGCCAATTTTAGATCAATTTCTGTACTACCAACATTAAGTAAAATTTTTGAAAAAATTATTTTAGATCAGATGTTAAGTTTCTTTAATATTAATAAATTGCTACATAATAATCAATACGGTTTTACAAGGGGTCGCTCGACAACTGACGCTGGAGTTGAGCTTATTAAACATATTTTTTGTGCATGGGAGAATTCAGAGGATGCTTTGGATATATTTTGTGACCTTTCCAAGGCCTTCGACTGTGTTCACCATGAGACATTAATCAGGAAGCTACAGTACTATGGTGTCAAGAACACAGCGCTTAAACTTATTATTTCATATTTAAGTAATAGAAAACAGAAGGTTATTATCAATGGTAAAAGTTCTTCCGGGTCACCTGTACTAATGGGTGTACCTCAGGGCTCGATTCTCGGCCCATTCCTGTTTCTGGTGTATATTAATGACTTACCTCACCTTGTAGGGGATAGTCATGATATAGTATTATTTGTTGATGATACTTCCTTGATTTTTAAACTTAAACGTCAATCATTTAAATGTGACGAAGTGAATAATGCTATATCAAAATTAGTGCATTGGTTTAACGTTAATAATCTGCATTTGAACGGAAATAAAACTAATTGTGTTAAATTTACAACAACGAATATTCAAAATCTGAATACCAATGTGTTTTTAAATGGGGAGGAATTGAGCCCTGTTGTATCCACTGTTTTTCTTGGCATCACTCTTGACGCAAAGCTCCAGTGGGGCCCCCATATATCCAAATTAGCAAGCAGACTAAGTTCTGCAGCCTATGCTGTAAAAAAGATTAGAGGTCTCACTAGTGTCGAGACAGCTAGATTAGTTTATTTTAGTTATTTTCATAGCATAATGTCTTATGGGATTTTGCTATGGGGAAATGCGGCTGATTCAGAAACTATTTTTGTTTTACAGAAGAGGGCCATTAGAGCTATTTACAATCTAAAACCGAGAGAGTCTCTTAGAGATAAATTTAAAGAAATTAATATATTAACTTTGGTCTCTCAGTATATTTACGAAAATTTAATGTATGTTCACAAAAACAAAGATAGTTTTAGTAAAAGAAGTGATTTACATTCTGTAAACACTAGGAACAAACACAAGCTAGTGATACCAGTTTCTCGACTCCACAGAGTCAGTAATTCATTCTTGGGGCAATGTATACGCTATTACAACAAGGTCCCGGAAAGTGTACAGGTTCTCTCTATTACCAAGTTTAACTGTTTTATTAAGCTGAAATTGTATAAAAAGGGTTATTATAGTATAAATGAATACATGGTTGATAATAACCCCTGGGAATGAGGTGATCGCTTCCAAGCAGTTTCTAAAATAAATTTTGTAAATAGTTCGTAATCATTTATATTGTAAAATTTATTTAAAAAAAAAGTCCCGCTGGTTTTCTTGCTGGTTCTTCCCAGGACAGAGGGTTTTTTTCGAACCAGTGGTAAAGTTAAAAATGACTTTCAATAAGAATTACACATGTAATGTATATTGAATAAAAAATATTCTATTCTATTCTATTCTATTCATCGACCACGTCCAAATGGCTATAGATTCCTTGCTACAACAAGTCCCATCCGCAGAGATCGTGATCCTTGGCGATTTTAACGCCCACCACGCCGAATGGCTCGGTTCACGTTTAACCGATCATGCGGGGAGATCTGTGTATGACTTTGCCTTGGCATATGGTCTGACACAACTGGTTACTTCGCCAACGCGGATTCCAGATGTGGAGGATCATACACCTTCCCTGTTGGACTTTCTGCTGATCTCTCATCCGGACGGATATCAGGTTTCCGTCGATGCCCCTCTCGGCTCTTCGGACCATTGTCTGATCCGGAGTGTGGTGCCACTAACGCTCCCCTCACGGTCGCGTTCTGCAGGTTGCCGCCGTGTTTGGCATTACAGGTCGGTGGATTGCGGTCTTTCTTTGCATTCTACCCATGGGGGCGGGTTTGCTTCTCGCCGGTTGATCTCAGCGCTGTTGCTGACTCCGTCACTGATATGGTGCTACATGGAATGGAACTATTTATTCAATCATCTGTGGTACCCATCGGAGGCAGATCTCAGCCTTGGTTTGGTAAGACTGCATTACGCAGTAAGCAGGAGTGTTATCAAGCCTGGGCTGCGGCTTCGGCGATTCGGGATGTAAACACCAGCATGCTTAAAAATAATTATAACTTCGCCTCCAGGTCCTTCAAAAGAGTTATTGCCAAGGCAAAGTCAGAGCACATAGGCAGAATTGGCGAGAAACTAGTTCGCCTTCCTTCGGGAACCCGTGCATTCTGGCCCCTCACCAAGGCTGTGTCCAAGGGAATTTCTGTAAGCCATCACTACCATCTCTGCACAGGGAGGACGACTTACTGGCCCACGCCGCAAAAGATAAAGCAGACCCTTTAGGCTCCCTTCTTGCGTCCAACTCGACTCTTGATGACGGGGGGAACACACCGCCGACCATGCCGCGGTGTGAGTGCTCCATGCTGGATGTGCGGTTATCACAGCGCTCGGTTCGCAAAGCACTCCTCTCGCTGGACATCCACAAGTCGAGTGGGCCTGACGGGATCCCCCCAATTGTGTTGAGCAGGTGTGCTCCGGAGTTGGCACCGGTTCTAACGCGTCTTTTCCGGTACTCCTACTCCCTAGGCGTAGTCCCGAAATCATGGAAGACAGCTTTTGTCCACCCGATCCCTAAAAAAGGCGACCGCTCAGACCCGTCCAATTACAGGCCTATCGCCATCACCTCCTTGTTCTCCAAAATAATGGAATCCATTATAAACTGCCAGCTCATGCGGTACCTTGAGGATCACCAGCTGATTAGTGACCGCCAATACGGTTTTCGTCGGGGTCGATCAGCTGGTGATCTTCTGATCTACCTGACTCATAGATGGGCGGAGGCAGTAGAGTCCAAGGGGGAGGCGTTAGCCGTTAGTTTGGACATTGCGAAGGTCTTCGATCGGGTTTGGCACAAAGCGCTTCTTTCGAAGCTCCCTTCCTATGGGCTTCCCGAGAAATTTTGCAGTTGGATCACCAGCTTTCTTGCAGATCGGAGCATCAAGGTCGTTGTAGACGGTGCATGCTCCGACAACAAGTCTATTAACGCTGGTGTTCCACAAGGCTGTGTGCTATCACCAACTCTGTTTCTTTTGCATATCAATGATATGTTGTAAACTGGTAACATTCATTGCTATGCGGATGACAGCACTGGTGATGCTCTATACACCGGCTGTGCCAATATTTGTCGGGAAAACGTCGCCGAGTATCGGAACAAACTTGTGTCTGAAGTCGAGTCTTTGCTGAACAAAGTCTCGGATTGGGGGCGACTAAATCTAGTCCAGTTTAATCCTCGGAAGACACAAGTCTGCGCGTTTACCGCTAAAAAGAACCCCTCTGTCGTATCTCCTCAGTTTAAAGGCACTCCCCTTGTTGCCTCAGCCAGTATCGGAAACCTCGGCGTCGATATATCGAGTGACGTGTAGTTTCGTGGTCACTTGGAAGAGAAGGCCAAATTGGCCTCTAAAAAGCTAGGCGTGCTCAACAGAGCGGGACAGTATTTCAAGCCGGCACAACGCCTGCAACTTTACAAGGCGCAGGTTCGGCCTCACATGGAATACTGTACCCATCTCCGGACCGGGGCACCCCAGTGCCAGCTCCTTCCATTTGACCGCATCCAGCGCAGAGCGGCTCGAATCGTCTACAACCGAGTCCTTTCCGATCGACTCGATTCATTGGCGCTGCGAAGAGATGTTGCATCCCTTTGCATTTTCTTTCGCATTTACCACGGCGAGAGCTCTGAGGAACTGTTCGGATTAATCCCAGCCGCTAAATTTCACGAACGCACATCACGGCAGCCGATACCATCCACACCATCTGGATGAGTGGCGGTCCACTACTGCGCGATTTAGAAGATATTTTCTTCCTCGCACAACTTCCATATGGAATCGATTACCATCAGCGATTTTTCCGGACCGATACGACTTAGGGACCTTCAAGAAAAGAACCTACTCTTTTTAAAAGGCCGGCCACGCATCTGCTATTCCCCTGGTTCCTCTGGTGTTGCAGTTGTTCATGGGCGGCGGTAGTCACTTACCATCAGGTGAGCCGCATGCTCGTTTGCCCGCTCTCTTATAAAAAAATACTCCACCGAGCAAAGAGGCGGTAAACCACCCAAAAGTCGCAGACACCGGTTCCATGGACACCGAGGCAGCAGGATCATCACTGAACCCCAAAACCAGTGACAAAACGGCCTGCACAACCGAGTCGAAGCCACCAGAGAGAGAGCGGGCTCAGCAGCGGTTCACTGAGTGACGAGGAGGGCTGCACTTTGCCATCCAACTCCAACTCGGTGGCTGACGATGAGACCCGAGATCTGCTGGCAGGCTTATTTTTGGGCGAGGACGGGGAGGACGTGGTCAATGAATGAAACGGCGTCGGCTAAATTACTGAAGTGGTTGGAGGTTCAACGGACGGCCATAGCCCTAATCCAAAAGCCGTGGGTTTGGGCCGGTAAAATCAAAGGCCTAAACAACTTAAAAGTTAAGTTATCCAACAACTCTGTGCACGACAAGCCTAGAGCGTGTATGTGCACAACTATTAACAGATTTCTGTTCCAGGACATGTATGCCGTAGCATTACAAAACATACAGGAGGAAAGAATAGTCGTCGCCTCGGTCTACATGCAGGAGGAAGACACTCCTCCCCCTCATGACCTCGTCGGGCTGTTACATTTCTGTGAGAGGACCAGACTAGAGGTTGTGATCGGGACGGACTCCAACTCCAACAAACTCCAACGCGCATCACCCCCTCTGGGGAATGGAAAAACCCAACGAACGAGGTAAGGTTTTAGTTGAATATATAGTATAGCAGATCTGTCGCTCCTAGAAGAACAGGTACAGGAACAGCAGCTGTTACTAAGGCCATGATAGATAGCTACCATGAATCATGTCCAGAAATCACTCCACCAAGACATGCTGAGGTAAAGCAACCGTGCTGGGGAAAAGAACTAGATAGAAAACGTAAGAATGTAAGAAAAGACCTAAATAGGGCCATGAATACCTCAATGGATGAAGACTGGCGAAAGCAAAGTCAGAATACAAAAAATGTATCAGGTATCGACGCTCTACAGGTTGGCGTAAATTCTTGGTAACATAGAAACATGTGAACAAGCGAATCGGATAAGGAAAATCCTAGCTAAATAGGGCACGCCGGGATCCATCTCTTTAAAGAAACCCAAGGGAAGCTACTCAACATCGCCGGACGAAACCCAACGCATCCTAATTGACACGCACTTCCCAGGTTGCTGCGTAACTCAGGGGGTAAACCGGCATGAAGGTGCACTGACACCAACAGCAGAAGACTGGAATTTAGCACAGAGAGTGGTAACGATGGACATAATCCATTAGGCTATTCAGTTTCCTCCCCTACAAGGCGGCAGGACCTGACGGCGTATTCCCGGCACTCCTACAGTGGGGGGTAAAGCCAGTCAGACTTGTTGCCACAATGAGAGCCTATTTGGCTTTTGAATATGTTCCTAGGGGATGGAGGGAAGTGAAAGTCACATTCATACCCAAACCAGGTAAGAGCGACTATACAGACCCTAAATCCTACAGATCCATTAGCCTCACATCCTCTCTCCTAAAGACAATGGAATGTGAAAGGGAATTAAGGGGGTCGGCGCTAATGAACTTACCGCTACACGACAAATAACACACCTACAGCTTAGGTAAATCGACCGAATCGGCACTTCACCAGGTAATAACAAAGCTTGAAGAGGCCATCCAAAACAAAGTAATATGTCTAGGTTCCTTCATAGATATAGAAGGTGCTTTTGACAGAACGAACTTCTCCAGCATAAAAAGTGTACTCATTAGACATAAAGTTGAACTGGCACTGATTGACTGGATAGGAATAATGCTCAGTACACGAACAATAAAGATTGCTGGTGAAGCTCAAACAATCGAGATTAAGAAAGGCTGCCCACAGGGTGGGGCTCTTTCACCTCTCCTGTGGAATATGGTGACAAATGAACTCACCAGCAAATTAAATGCCAATCATTTCTACACAGTAGGTTATGACCTGACAATACTGGTCTCTGGAAAGACAGCAAGCATGGTATGTGACTTAACCCAAGCGGCTCTCCGTATAGTGAAGAGATGGTGCAGGGAAACAACTTAACTGCCAACCCAAATAAAACGGTTCTAGTAATGTTCACAAAAAAACGAATGTAATAAACACATAGAAAACAAAATCAACAAAGCTAGTATATAGTATATCTGGCAATGCAGAAACATGATTGGCAAAAGATGAGGTCTGATGCCAAAAATCATACTGTGGCTATACAAAATTGGAATCCGGCCCATGATAACATACGGCGCTCTGGTATGGTGGACCAAAACAAATGAAGCCAACACTATAAAAAAGCTTCAGTGTTACCAAAGACTGGCATGTATGGCTGCCACAGGCTGCATAAGAACTATGCCAACAGCAGCCTTAGAGGCGATGCTGGAGCTAACCCCGCTTCACTTCTACACATAGAACAAGAAGCGACTTTAGCTGCCATTAGACTCAAGACCCTAAATCTTTGGAGTAAGAATAGAGTCCCTCATACAGGCATAATTGATAGAATTCACTCAAAAATTCCTATCGTACAAGGCAAGTACAATAAGATCCATAAACAGTTTGTATTCGATAAGAAGTATAAGATACAATTAAATAAAACCAGCCAGCAGGAGGGATTATGCCCAAAAGAGCTTAGTCTTCACCAATGGTTCTAAAACAAATGAAGGTGTAGGATCTTGTAGGATCTGGAACTTTTTCTGAAGACCTCAACATCCACATATGCACATTGCTGGGTACCTACAACACAGTCTTTCAGGCGGAATGTATGGGTATCATACTGACCGACAGTACTAAAGGGCGGTACTAAAAGCCCTGAGCTGCAATGTGGTGAGCTCAGAACTAATATATGAATGCCACCAACGATTAAATGAGGTTTGTAAACACAACAATGTGACTCTGCAATGGATAAAGGGACACAGTGGATCCAGAGGCAACGATGCAGCAGACGAACTGGCCAGAAGAGGATCGGCTGTGGCGACTATAGGGCCAGAACCAATTATACCAATCCCCTTTAGTAATGTTCATTCACTGGTACGTAGACACTACACTAATCAACACACTCAACTTTGGAAAAATCTAGTAGACTATAGACAAGCTAGGGAGGCCCTGCCTAAAAAAAAGTCCTTTAACCAAGGTTCTAATGAGACTGAACAAGCCGCAGATCAGGATAGTAACAAGTGCTATCACAGGACACGGTAACTTTAACAAACATTTATTTACCATAGGTGTTACGGACAGTCTCCTGTGCAGGGCATGTATGGGGGACGAAGAAACGGCGGCCCACATGTTGCTGACGTGTCCGGAAGTCACTGTATACAGGCTTTGAGAGTTACAAGTTGAAGTGAGTGGAGAAACCCATGATATCTACAAAAACATCACAAACGGTTGGCTTGAGAAGCTTTAGTAAATAAATAAATAAATAAATCATAACCTGTTAATAAGAAGTTATTGCCTTACATAAAATTGTAAATAGTCAAATTACAATGAATTTCAATTCATTTCATATACCAAGTATACCACTTAAATTTCATTACATTACAAACTTATTGCTTAGAAATTCATCTGCACTGGTACCACTGTATTACTTTTCTGCTGCCAAGAAGCTCACCATTTCCATGTCACAGTTTAATGGGAGAAAGCTGTGAGGCATTTCACCTTAGGCTGGCTTTTCACTATGGGCTATAATATATATTATATCCTGAAATATAAATTATATCCTGAGATTGGCTTTCACACTGTGAGATATATCTTTTAACCAGTGTGCGATTGTCATTGGTCATTGAATTACCCCCCTTTACCCCGTACTCCGTTCTACAGGGGCGCGGAACGGTGTATGGGGTACAGGGGACGAAATATAATATGAAAATATCGCTCGGTCGATCGAAAAAATATTTATAGCTTGAGATGTAATATATATTATAGCTCAATGTAAAAGGTTCCATATGAAATGTATGGTGAGCGATATTAATTTATATCTCAAAATGTAATATATATTATATTATATCCCATAGTGAAAAGTGGGTTAGTTACAAGGGTAGCATAACATCAGTCACATTCTTTGTTTGAAGTTGTATGCAGGGTCGTGAACTGAAGCTGTCTGCAATCAAGATGACTGTTTGTTTCCTCATTCGCCAAAATTAAATAAAAAAAAAATATTTAATAAAAAGAGATGTATTAATATGCCTAGGATATTATTTTAGATTTATTCTTATAATTAAGCCACATTTTTACCTTATTATATAGTCAGGTAAAATCTTAATAAAACCACATTCCTTGAGGATGTCTCCATAATTTTCCATACTAATTGGATTCATGCAGAATACATGTGGATTGTGACAAGCTTCTATTGCAGTAATGCCAAATTTATTTAAAATTTGGAGTACATATTCTATTTGCTCTTGGCTAATCCTGTCCAGATTTGGATGTCTTCTTTTTAAAGCAGGCATCATATCATCAGATATTGGATGACCTATAAGCAACGTTATTATACTATTGAAAATTATTGTTTACACGACAGGATACGGATTTAAAAACCCTAACATACCTGTGACTTTTTTATATAGATTTAGGAAAGGTACTCCATGATAACATTTGATTACACTTTTAGTAAAAATAAATGAAATTAAACTGTATCCTTTTCTAGTCAATAATACACTAGGTACATTTAGTCGCATGGTTCTATTAAAATAAATAATTTGGTAATTTTGTACAACCTACAATAGCATGGTATCAGCGCAATATTATTTGTATAGAAGTGAAATGATAAACATCATCTATAATCTATATTCTATACTATTACTATCAGAGAGATTTAAATTAGGGATGTTCGATGATCTTCGATGTTAAAAATTAAAACATCGATGTTTTAACATCGATGTTGACACTTGTCTAACATCGAAACATCGATGTCAATGAACCAATAACCGATTATTGGGAACTTACGAACAATGCGAACCTGCGAAATCAATATCAACTAAATCTTGCATCTGCTCTGAAGATTTAAAATTTTGAAAAATAAAGAATTTCCGAACGAATTGCTAACCTAAAAAAATATCATTATGGTGTGTCAAACTTAATTGTAATATGTCACCTGTAATGTCACAGTGATCACTGCTTTCGCTTTATTTTGTAGTGTCGTTGTTGGTTGTAGCATAATAACTATTCTACATAGATTGATATTCAAGTTAATTGTTACTTTACGTATATGTGGGTATACACAGCAAGAGAAAAAGTAACAAGTTGGCAATCGATGTCATCATCGATGTTTCAGCAATATCGATCATGCCTAATTTAAATATACCGGGTGTTTGAGAAACGCTCCCGAAAACGTAGACAGACGATTTAATATATTAACTTTGGCCTCTCAATACATTTATGAAAATGTAATGTACGTACACAAAAATAAAAGTAGTTTTACAAAAATAAGTGATATTCATTCTGTAAATACTAGGAACAGACACAAGCTAGTAGTACCAGTTACTCGACTCCATCGAGTCAGTAATTCATTCTTGGGGCGATGTATACGCTTTTACAACAAAATTCCAGAAAATATACAAAATTTGACCTGCTCAAAGTTCAAAAACTTTATTAAACTAAGTTTGTATAAAAAGGGTTATTAATGAATTTATAGATGATAATAACCCTTGGAAATGAGGTGATCGCTACCAAGCTATTTCTAATTTGTTGTGATGTTAATTTGTGTAACATACATGATTGTAAGCTGTTATTTAAAAAAAAGGTCCCGCTGGGTTTCTTGCTGGTTCTTCCCAGGACAGAGGTTTTTTTTTCGAACCAGTGGTAATCATAAAAAAAAAGTGACTTTCAATAAGTATTATTTATAATCTATATTGAATAAAAAAGTTTCTGTTGCTGTTTCTGTTTCTGATAGTACTAACTATACCTTTGATAATGGGTGAGAAATAAAATCGACCCTGATAAAAAAAAATCATCTTTCCACAACGTTTTATTAGCTTTATTCACGCTCCATCATGTTAATACAGCTAAATAAAACAATAATTTAATTTAAAAAAAAATCATGAAAATACTTAAACATTAAACCAGCAGTGGAATTTAAAATAAATAAATCATAAAATCAGCTGACTAGGGTCAATATCCGCGTGGAAGCCAAACTCTTTTATCTAGCTCGGTACAGGTCCCGTCACGTAAAAAGAACGCTGAGCGACAGTAGAGGGGGTGTCTCCGTATGGGTATAGTCGCATTATAAAGTACTACATGGTACCAGGTATTATTTTATAATATAATAGTAATTAATTGGTTTATTGCAGAATCTTGGAACTTACTAAACAATACTTAGAACTTTGGAAGAGGTTGGAATTAGAAATGGATAATGTTTACTTGAGCATTATTTTTTATTTCTGTCGTAAAATATAAAGTAGTTTGTAACAAGAAAACTTAAGCTAAGGGTGACACACCGTCCATTATATCGTCTTGAGTCACATGGAAGCCAGATGTCGATGGTGTGTTGGTATTACTTCATCGTCACTTTCATCCTCGCTTGAACTTCTGTCATCAGAATCATTATCATCAATGCGAATGATAAATGTTTCCGCCAACAGGTCGACCACATGGTAATTTTTTCGGTATTCTTTCTCAATACTGCAACTTCACTGCACAATTTTCCCCAATCACCTTCTTCCATCATATTTACCTTTTCATAGTTCAGTCATAAAACAATAGATATAAATAATTTTTCTTACCTTCCTTTTTAAAACCATCGTCGCGCATCGTACAAAGAAAGCTGTATATGCGACTGTATTTTGGGGGTGAACAAAGCACAAAAAGAATTAGAAACCAATAGCGTGCGCGCACAGTAATACTGTCGTGTGTCATTCCCCCGTCGCGCCCCTTCGTACCACAACAGGTGCCGCCCAGTCGACTCGTGTCACCGCACGTTAGCGTTGCTAGGATATGAGGAATTCCTCAAATTGCGGGGAATTTAAATTTGGTTGGGAATTTTATGGAGATTAATATTATGCGGGTATTTTGAAAATCGATATACTTATCTTAACATTTTGTTAGGTTGCTTATGAATATCGAATGAATCCCTTTTTTTAAATATCTTAATTACACCACATTTAATTTTCGGATTTATTTCGGCAAATTTTGTGTATCATTTAATGCTTTTCATTTTATATTTTTTTTAATTTTAAAGCAGAGAACTGCATGCATATAAATGCAGATACTGTGGTACTTTATAATGCCAACAAGGGAAGGAATTAAAAATACTCCATGGAGCAGAATGCTTGTGACAAAAATATGGAGTGTGAAAAAAATTCGGTGAAAAGAAAAAAAAATTAAAAATAAACCTTATAAAATTAGTTAAAAATTACTTAATTTCTTTAAATAAAATTGAGGGGAATCTGTTGAAGTCGTTTTGTCCTTAAATTGGGCAATTTGACATGGATTTTCGGAGAATTTGACAAATTTGTGTTGGCAACGCTGCCATATTGCACCGAAATTTACCCACTAAGATTTGTTTCACAATAAAACTTTGGCTTTGGATTTGGCAATCACAATAAAACTTGCAAGTAATTTTTAATAGTTTTCAAAATTCGGCTTTCAAATTATCTTACAAGAGATACCTTACTTTTCGGCCTGCAGGACCCTTTCCTTGCATTTCTAAATGGTGTTTTCTACCAAATGGATAAAGTAAGTCTTAACCACAGTCCAACATTACTTTTATTTTTACCATTTCCTATTGTATGAATTAAAACCACTTTTTTCTTTTAAAGCTAGTTATGTTTACCAAATGTATTTCAAGTTCAAACTAACCAATATTGTTGACCATAATTTGGCCTCTGTTGACAGTGATAGAATAGTAGGCAAGCAATAACCATAATAACCTAAAGAAGTGCAAGTGTTGGCCTAGTCCCTGGAACTTTCAATAACATCTCAGAATCCCAAAGCCGTTTGTGTTAGCATCTGGCTCAATATAATAAAAGTTGTTTTGCATCTAAACAATGGCTGGGTATTCGTTAAAGAGAGTGCCCTCCATTATAGTGATTTAATGTGTTTGTTTGTATGAAAACCAACAGAGTTTAACTAATATTTATTTAAAGAGACTTTTTCCTTACAAAGATTTCATGTTAAACAAAGTTCTCACTGTAATTAAAGACCTAATAATAAAATTGCACACTTGTCTAACTTCGAGCTTAGTGCTCCCAACAACTACCGGCATAAGTGTGACATGGACGTTATACATGATTTTTGTTTTGTCCATGTTCATCTCAAGACCTATCCGTTGGGAGACACTATTGAGGTCATTTAACATAGTGCTTAGGTCCTCCATCGATTCTGCCATAAGGACTATATCGTCGGCAAATCGAAGGTGAGTGATGTTAATACCGTATCTTTTCCAGTCCAGAAGCTTGAAAACGTCTTCCAATGCAGCGGTGAAGAGTTTCGGGGATATAACGTCACCCTGTCTTACACCTCTCTGCAGTTGGATAGGTTTCGTACTCTGATTCTGTACTCGGATAGCTATAGTAGCTCTACTGTACAAACACCTCAGCACTTCGATATACCGACAGTCAACTTGGCACCGCTGAAGGGACTGCAGCACCGCCCAAATTTTGACGGAATCAAAGGCTTTCTTATAGTCCAGATATGCAAGGCAAAGTGGCAGATTATACTCCTCTGTCTTCTGTACAATATATACAGAATGTATAGGGTCTATGATGCTAAAGCCTTTTCGGGAACCGGCTTGTTCGGGAGGCCGGAAGTCGTCAAGTCTGCGTGCGAGACGATTCGTAATGACTCTCGAAAACAGCACGTAGAACCGGCTCAGAAGGGAAATCGGTCTGTGGTTCTTCAAGAGAGCGTTGTTGCCTTTCTTGAAGAACAAGACCACCGCACTTCTGCTCCACGCCTCCGGAGTAGTGCCACCATGGAGGACGGAATTAAAGAGCTTCTGAAGGACTTCAAGTACCGGTTTTCCATCCGCTTTCAAAAGCTCCGCTGTAATTTCATCCTCGCCCGGGGACTTGCCGTTTTTAAGGTGCTGGAGAGCCATTCTAATCTCGCTCAGAATGACGTCCGGGATATCTTCGGAATAGTGTCGGATAAGACAAGTATGCGCGTTTACCGCTAAAAAAACTTTGTCATATCTACTCAATTTCAGAGTAACCTTGTACTAACCTTGATGCCGCAGCCACTAGCGGAATCTTCGGCGTCGACATATTGAATGACCTGCAGTAGCATGGTCACTTGGAAGAGAAAGCTAAACTGTCTTCTAAAAAGCTTTGCGTACTCAGTAGATCGGGACAGTATTTCATGTCTGCACACCATTTGTAACTTTACAAGCGCAGGTTCGTCCTCACATTGAATACTGTTCTCATCTCTGGGCAGGGGCTCCCCAGTGCGAGCTCCTTCCACTTGACCGCATAGAAAACAGAACGGCTCGATTCGTCAACGATCGAGTTCACTTTGATTGGCTCGATTCACTGGCGCTGCGTGGATATGTTGCATTTCATATCGTATTTATCACGGGGAGTGCTCTGAGGAATTGTTCTGATTAATTCCAAATTTCACCAATACACATCGCGACAAAAACTACGTTACAATCCACATCATTTGGATGTTTGGCGGATATCGTGCGATTTATTAGGAGTTTTCTTAGGAATCGCTTACCGTCGGCGATTTTATGGAATGATACGACTTAGGGAACTTCAAGAAACGAGCTTAATCCTTTTTAAAAGGCCAGCAACGCATCTGCAGTTCTCCTGGTGTTGTAAAATTATGTTAAAATTTTAATAGAAGGCTATCTTTTTGACAGGTTCTACTGGTTGTACTGGCTGACATAGACGTTTCACGTTAAAACCAATGACCGTGTGCCCCGATACAGGCCCACCCGATTTTTTTACTGGTATGGATACAATATCATTTACTGTTTCACCTCCTTAAATATTGTAGATGAATAAATCTGCATCCCGTATATAATTTTTTATCGATAGAACCAATCGATAAACGTTGTCAATCACTTACTTATTTGCTGACGTTACTAGATAACAGAGGGCGCTTATTACAATGATAATAAATGTTCTAGAACAATCTACCAGAAATAATAAAATTTAATAATTATGGGGTATAATATTATTCATTATACTTGCAATAATAAACCGAAATCACATTCAGTTTTTGCTACATATCAGGACTTACAATACCTCAATGCACAATCAGGAATATTTTCTTTAAAAATATTTTTATATTTAGGAAACGAATGAGTTTTGAGCTTTTATTAAGACTATTTTTATTAAGACTATATGACACAAATCCGAAATATATTCTATAGGACATAAGTAAAAGGTGAACATTTTGTTGCTGATATCCGGTCTATTACTACTACTTAAATGTCTATGTATAGTATATACTCTACCAAATCTAATAAACATATAAACACGGAGCACCAGTTTTCAAATAAAAAAAAAATATCATCGAAATCGATCCACCCAGGAAAAAGTTATGAGGTAACATACATTAAAAAAAAGAACATACAGTCGAATTGAGTACCTCCTCCTTTTTGAAGCCACCATAATGATATATTTTTAGGTTATCGATGCGTTCAATCATTCTGATTTATTCAAAATTTTAGATATTTTAGAGGAGATTTTATCTCGCGGGTTAGCAGTGTTCGCAAGTACTCAATAATCGATTATGGGTTTATTGACATCGATGTTTCGATGTTTGACATGTGGTAAAATCGATGTTAAAACATCGATGTTTTCATTTTTGACATCGATGATCATCGACATCCCTAATCCAATAAATGTCACAGCAGACAGCTGGTTTGGTGCATATACATATGTACATAGGTGTATATCTCTATGGTTTGGTGTACAATTTGTATTTTGTATATAGGTATATGCCTATTATCATATTTGTATCAATTTGTATGTATTTTATAAAATATGGATTGGAGCAGTGTATCACATCATTTTAAACAGACTTGGTGTACTACTTCGCTGAGTCTTGTGTTGTTTTTGGGTGCTACTTATTTTTTGCTTTGGGCTGAGGTAAGTTTTTCATGTTTTTTGTAGTCTCGAAATTGTAGTGACATTCGAATTCTCTGAAGTGGCACTACCTTGTACAACCCCATGGGTGTTGTAAGCGATGACAGAGGAAAATAAACCAGAATATGGGTAGCACCAGCAGTCCGTCCTGCCACCCTATAATAAAATAAAAACTGCAGTTGCCAGCCCGCATGTCAAGAGTGGCCACTCTGGTAAATATTTATGAGGCAATCTGTGGGGATGGCCATGTTCATTAGTGGACTTTTCATAGGCTTTATGTTGGTATGAATATAAACATAGTAATAAGTCCCAGTCGCCTCTGGGGTCATTTGGGGCTCTGTATGGGACCACTTTTTTATGTATTTATTCAGCCCAACCAGATGAGATTACTATATAAGGGGTCATTCATTTATTAAGTAAGAATGATTTTGGCGATTTCTGAAATAATGATCGACTAGTTTTAAATTAAAGAAAATAAACTACACAGTAAAACCTAGATCAATTCAGATCTTCTAAAGATCAAAATAAAATGCGGGAACATTGTACTATAATTATTATTTATAACTTTTTTTTTGTTTTATAACATTTAAATTTAAAATGGATAAAAATGAACATTTTTAAGACTAGAATTTCAATAAACAATAAAAATTTGTGAAATAAGAAGTAAATAGAAGTGTACATTATAGAATGAAGAAAACTATTCTGCATCTGAAATGGAACTAGATTTATAATATTAACCCTCGGTATGCCTGGTGGATTGAAATCATACCTTATGCCTGGTGGGTCTGACGGATGCAATATTATTATTATTTTTATAATCTAATAAATTATTTATTTATCAAATGAAAATATTGCTTTTTCAAGCTAACAAAAATAGATTCATTAGTATTTAATCAAAATCTTAAATTAAAAACAGAGATCAAAATCAGACTGGTTTATTTAAGGCTCTGATAAATTTGCTATAGTTAGATAACACTCTAATAAAAATCAACACTGGCTAACGATAATTATTCAGTGCTCAGATATGTGACAATTTTTGCATAGAAAGCTTGTGTGCTCCATGCAAATGTAACTGAAAAACACAACATAAATGTATTTGGAATTCCGATCTTTTTTTACCAGATACAAATAACAATGTCTTTTGACATCGTAGTCTGTACCAAAAGTAATCAAATTGTGAAATTGTGATTTGTGTAACTTTTCTGCTGACTTCCAAAAAGGAGACGGTACTCAATTCGCCTGTATGTATATGTTTTTTTTTGTTTTTTTGTATGTATTTCTCATAACTTTTTACTGGGTAAACCAATTTCGATGATTCTTTTTTTATTTGAAAGCTGTTACTTCTCGTGTGGTCCCATATGAATTTGATCCAGGTCACACTAATAGTTTTTGAGTTATTTTTAATAACTTATATTGAAGTTGGCTGTACAAAATTTTTAATTTTAAATTATTTTTATGCGTGTCAATAAATTATTATTGTGGTTTATTAATAACTATTTCTCATCTGGTTGGGCAGTATAAATATATATTAGTAAATGAAAATGGTAAACATACATAAATATCAATAATATAAAATAAATATATTAAAATACATAAATATTTAAAAACCCAACCAGATGGAAGCCCTCGGCAGGGGAGACCAGACTGCCGAGGGTTAGAGGTAAAGGGAAAGAAACCGGCTGACGATGCGGGCGGTATTGAGTATCAATAAATTATTATTATTATTATTATCAGCACAAGGTTTATGGGGTGGAGGTCCTAATGGTTCCCCAACGTGAGTACTGATTTTATTGCAGAGGGTCACTGATAGGTGCAAATTAGCTTTTTTTTTACAGCTTGATGTGGAGCTATCAATGCCATGTCTGAGCTTTTTAGGAATTCTCTTCTGGTTGGTGGTCATGTGTTCAACATTTCAACAATTTTGCATTTATTGCGGAAGTATGGAGAAAACACTGCCGTGATCAGACTCGTCCCCATTTCCGTCTAAGATCACGTCATCTTCCACAAGTCTTAACTTCATTTTGGCATTTATGTAAAACAACATAAAGAATTTTATGAAATATATGTGTCATCCAATTTTTGCATGCATGGTCCTGATCCACCTGCATTCATTGCCTTCCATTATATCTTACTACTAGGTCATCTCTCCATCTATTGGAGGGCCGCCCTACACTTCGTTTATCGGTACACGGCTGCGACGCGAGAACCTTTCTTGCTTGCCTTTTTAGCTGACGTATTGCCACTTCACATTAATGGTCTGTCGAACTTTGTTGGTTACTCTGGTGCTACGGCGAATATCCTCATTACAAAGTCTATCATGCAAAAAATCTCCCAGCCCGCTCCATAGCTGACTGAGCGACCTTGACCTTCCTCATACGGCTTACAGGGAAAGAACACTTCTCAGATCCATGTGTCATCACTGGCAATACGCACTGTTTATATACTGTCTTGTTTTCAAGTTTTGAGGTAGATGCGACGAAATCTGTCGTAATCTCCAGAACACTGCCTAGACGAGTTGAATCCGTCGATTGGCGTCTCGTTCGACGTTGGACTTACCTTATTTTTAACATGGTGAAATGCTTGCGCATAGGGGGAGAGGACACCACTCTCGTCGCAGTCCGAAGTGGGCTTGCAAAACCCACTCGAAGTGGCTAGCTCGAGCCGGCCGTTCACCTCGGGCCAGCCATGTGGGTTTCTCACCGTGGGTGACCAAGTCACTGCTACTAAGCCGCCCCGCCACGACAAGGCGAGAACCCGTTCGGTGGAAAAGTTGGACATACCTAGTCGGAATTTGTCCTAAGTAAATATCATCATCATCATCATTACAGCCTTTCATAAGTCCATTGCTGAACATAGGCCTCCCCCAAGTAATGCCTCAAAGCTCGGTCCTGAGCCACCTGTAAGTAAATATACTCGTCTATAACTTCAAGCGTAGTGCTCCCGGCAAGTATTGACCTAGGTGTGACATTACACATGACTTTTGTCCATGTTCATTTAAAGACCTATTCAGTGAGGGACATTATTGAGGTTATTGAGCATACTGCTGAGGTTCTTCAGCGATTCAGCCATAACGACTATATCGTCGACGAATCGAAGGTGAGGGCACCTTACCGTATCCTTTCCAGTCCAGTAGCTTGAAAATCTCTTTCAATGCATTCGGAAGAGTTTCGAGGATATAACGTCATCTTGCCATACATATCATTATAGTTGGATAGTTTTCGTACTTTGATTCTGTACTCGGATAGCCATCTTAACCCTACTGTATACATTGGCCATTAGTCTCCATATCGTCAAAGCCTTTAACACTCTACCCTGGGACGCAACCAGGAGGGCACTAACACATCATCAAGTGCCCTCCTACCTCAAAGATGTTATCTCGCCTATGATGCGGTTCTGCGCCAGTACACTAGAGCCCGAAGTGGAAGACGAGCTTCACCCGAGAAGATAGCCAGACTCTACAGGGCATACCGAGCGGCGACAAAAGCGTTACAAATTTCTATATCTAACGCCATGTCTCGGTCCTGGAAAGAGCTCCTAGAGGGACACAACGAAGATTCCTGGGGGCGACCATACAGGACGGTGCTGAGAAAACTTATGTGTTACGTACGTTGTAGCAAATGGGTTGACTCGACCGTGGTTGGACCACACTCTCACAGAATACCAGCTTAAAATAGCAGATTTGCTGATGTGTTTGTTTCGTATGGTGAGTGTAGAAAACCAGAGACCCGAGGAGACGAGGCATTCCATTATAGTCATCAGGGTTGATAACGCATCTGCATTTTGATTTTTGATCCAGGATAAATGTAGATGTCTATGAGCCACAGCATCCACTTACCATCAGGTGGACTGTGTGCTCGTTTGTCACCCTCATACTAGAAAAAAAGGCCCTGGTCGCCCCCCTTGACGGAGATTCGATTCGAACCTGCTGGGAAGAGTGATCAGCACACTTTTCCCAGTAGACCGGTCAAGTCCCTCAGGTCATCTGCCGTCGTCGTGGGAGTGGCAAGATGAGATGGGGGTGATGGGGAGAAGGGCACCAGCATCTTTTTGATAACATCTCAAAATAAGTGAAAAAAAAAAACTGTGGTTGCTAACTCGCCTTGCGTTGCCAAGCGTGGCAACTAAGGCAAAATCTCCCCTGTGAAGTAATGTATAGGGGAAGCCTATGTTCACCAGTAGACTTTTATAGGCTGTAATGGAGGGATGATGGATATAATACTCATGCGTGATTGCTTATGAGATATTTAAAAAGTTTTTATTTGCATGTGATTCCCTAATGAATTTTCAAATAATGCTTAGTTTCGTAGACAAATTTGTGGACAAGCGGTCAGAATTCCTGGCTTCTTAGCTTGGTTTCTGAAAACTCTGGGTTCGAATCCCATTCAAAGTTAAGACTTTAACAAAAATCAAGTATTTGGGTTTTTGGGTTTGCTTTGGATAAGTGAGTTTGTATGTAAACTTGAGTATGTGTGGTAGCACTCTACCACATCTACTGCATACAGTAAGACTGGTGATGGGAAGCAGTATCACCAGTGCGGGGTTCTCATCCAAACCCATCTACTGTACTTAAAAAGGCTAAAAACTATGGAACGGCTATGTGCTGTGAAATGGTGCTAAGAGAATGATAATAATTGATGAATCTCCGTATGATAAGCAGCTAGTTTTTATTCGTTTTTCTATTTAGAGGCATACAATTCAGAGTAATCTGATACTAGAGGAGTTGATCAATGGCGGAGAGAGTATTGACGTTCACACTGAAAATGATGCGGCTCGATACGAAGGTCGAATTGTCCACATTATTGGCCCACTCCGTATATTGGAGCCCATCTCGGAACCAGACTATAATATACAAGTACAGGCTGTTAAGTTGAGGAAGCGAGTGCAAATGTACCAGTGGATAGAGGAGACTACGTAAGTGATAAGAGTTATTGTGTAAATAATAATATAATAATAATGGTTTTATTTCAGAGTCAAACTCCATACTTTGCTAGTAATAAGAATAAACCTATTAATATTAGACTCATATATATATATATATATATATATCAGTTAGGTTTTTCTGTCATAAAATTTGCAGTAGCAGCCCAGACTCATTTTGGACTGGCCACTATGACCGTAATTCGGTCTGGAGGACATTATTAATTTGATCAATATGTGTATAAAGTAGCAGTAGTACACTGTTTATGATGAAAGAAAACAGTACAGTGCACATACAGGATACTGTTCTGTTTTCTTTCATCATAAATAGGCTGATATTTTGTAAAGACATCTAGATAGCTTAGTTTAGATTAAAAAAGCGAAGTCTCACAGAAGTGTACTTAAAAATCGGAATATAACTGATAATAAAGCTTATGGCATCATAAGTCTTAACTTTTCAATGTTTTTATACAGACAACATTAATTAACAAAGTGACCGGCGATTTGTATTAGTACAAGTAAAATGAGTACGAAGTCCTCATTTGATTGCATTCTCCTTCATCAGCCTATGAAAGTCTACTGGACATGAGTCTTTAGCGTTGTAGGCTTGGGGGGATTTGCCTTCGTCATGTTTGAAAATACGTTTAGCCGCGCTGACTCCTTTCCTATTTTCTTTCTAATGATGTCGTCGACATGCCGGTACTATGCTACGTTTCCGCCGGCACTAGACAATAACTAATCTAAGGCTAAAATAGACTGCATTTTAATAAAATTACGTAACACACATAACTTATAATAAACAATGTTTGTAAAGAAAGTCTAAAGATTGCAATCGATTCCCTATTTCTATGTCTTAAAATTTTAGTCTCAAAATAATAAAAAAAAAAAAGAATTATGTACATATCAGTTTTATTATTAATTTATTGGACTACTTTTTATTAGCAAACAATAAACAAAATCATAAGCCAGAATCTCAACGGTTCTGCAATCAGCTGCGCACGTCATTGATGAACTGCGACCTAATTACTTACTTACGTGTTTTATTTTTAAGGGATCAAGAAAACTTTTTAAGTGAACCTGGCGAAGAATCACAGAAATCTTATTGGTATCATAAAGATTGGAGGGATTACACTGTGGATTCATCACTATTCTACATAAGGTCGGGGCATCAAAACCCTACGTTCATGCCTATTTTCAGCGAAACACACATAGCGGAAAATGTAAAGATTGGATGGTTATATTTGGGTAAATAGGAAGAAATTTTATATTTAAAACATTAACGTAAATAATGTAAATTAAATAGCTTATAATTAATTAAAAGATTTTCACATGTGGTTGAACCACATTACAGCTGCACTATAACTGTAGCACGAATGGGCTGGTTCGACCTGGGTAGGCTTGCGATTTCGGAGACCCGGAAAGGCAATGAGGCGGCATTGTATGTTAGTCATAATCTCATGTTAAAGACATTTATTTATCACATAAGAACAATATACAGTTCGCTTAACAGTGAATTTAGAATATAAAGGGTTATTTTTTAAACTTAAGTTGAAATATATAAATAACGATATGCCGTTATTGCAGTTTTTGGAAATACGAGTAAAATCCAATTTTTTTGAAATTTTCCCAAATGGAATGTGAGTTATGGCCAGCAACGTTTTTGCCTACCGATCGACCATTGCGCATGCGCAGTAAAATCAGTTAAATAGAATTGCATAATGCATTACCACGCATTTTGAATTTAAAAGATAAAAAGGACAGAATTATTGAGTTTTTTTTAAATTAAGTTTTCTTTACCGTTTGCCTATATTACTTATTTTGAACTTTCTCTGTAAATTTGGCCGGTTATTACAACATAACCCTGTATGTGTCTATGGGCCACAGAATTCACTTACCATTATGAGGACTGTGTCATTGTATGTCACTCTTGTATAAAATCATATCTTTGGTGATGCGATAAAAAGATCAGACTAGATATGTCCAAAGATCTTCGACGATTTCATCCCTATATAGTTGCCTTGGACACGTAAACCTACTCTTTGGGTATATTAGTTCAATTCCAAAGAGTATATAGTGAAACCACGGAAGTTTCGGTTATATTCATCTCGACATGAAATCGATGATGATCGTAATGAGTAACGTTTAATTTGACGTATTACAAATTTGGTAGTTTTTAAAATTTTGTACAGTATTTAGCAAATTCATTTACCACTATACCCTTAACTATTATTTCTCAGGCTTGGACGTCAAGCGCAAGGTTAATGATTACTACGAGATATGGTCCGATTCTAGACCAGAACGCAGTGATATCAAGCTCCACTCCGGGTTCTATTACCATGGGGCGAGTGCATTGCAACATGAGATTGGCGATCTACGAATACATTTTTCCTACGCTGGTCGGGAGGATGATATTGTAAGTAAAAAAAAAAATGTTTCATCGTAATACGAGGAACTTTAAATATAAGTCTGGCTTTTTATTAATTTATACTGTATTTATCATTAGGTTGTTACATTTTAGTTTATTGGATTTTGTGTATTTATTATCTCGTTCTATTTGTTTCGCGTACTCATAATCAATAGATAGTTTCGTTCTTGCTTTCGTTGATGTATATGTGTCACAGCATTCATTGACCATCAGTCGGATCACACAGCTCGTTTGTCACCCTTATTCTATAAAAAAAATATTTAACTGAGTTTCAAAAACGAGTGTAACTATTTGGACGACATCATAGTCGTTGCCTTAAAATGATTCACGATTCATTAGGTTTCTTTCAGTGAGCTTGTGTGGTACCCAAATATCGAGCTTTTTTGTATAGCCATACTTTTTCAAACAGGTCAGAACTGTTTTGTGGTCAAACTTCAATTCCTCGGCTATGTCGTAACTACTAATATTTACGACTTTATGAGGGCACCCAGAACGTGCTGCATCTTTTACATCAAAATTCCCGGACTGAAAATGCTTGAATCAACTTTGTGCTACTCTTACTGACACTGCATTAGGTCCACAAATGTCACAATTTTTTTAGCGACTTAAGTCGCATTTTTCCCTTTTTTGTAATAAAACTTGGTGTAATGTATCGAATTTCTTCGTTAGATTCACTCATTTTAGCAGGCAAAAAAACAAATGAAAAATGGCGGGAAAGTGTTTTTCACTTTTTATTTTTCTTTTTCTTAATGTCCTCTATGTATTGATATTAAAACCAGCCACATACGAACAGTACAACCAAATAGATTTTTCTTTAATTTTATACAAACACTTTCCCCGGCCTTATATTTAGGTGTGGTATGAGTTCAAGAATACTTTAAAAATCTGAGAAATGGACTATGCACTTTTAAAATACGAGTTATTGGTCGATAAAGAAAACTAAATTACCATTTAAATCTACTACTACTATTTAAATCTCGCAAAAAGCCGTGTTAATCCTTCGTTAAAGATCAACAGCTTTGCAACTGAAAGATGACATGACGCCGTATTCTAATTTAATGAAAATATTATCAAGGTGCGGGATTAGTTAAGTAATAATATAACCATTCTTTATTAGAACGCAGCAGTCCACAGCCGTACATGAGCCTCTCTCTTGTTGAGGTTTTCCGTGTTTCCGAATGTTCTCTCGATGTTTGAACAAATTACATAGGATTTCATTATTTATTTAGCAGGCCAGCAATTGAAACAACTGATATAAGCCTGTATTCTGGTTTCAAATCTGTAGTTGTTCTATATGGCAAATCCCTTTCTATATCTCAGGAGCAAAAACAATTTTTTCTTATACCATTTCTTAATTTATTAAGAGAACACAGATATTTTGAATTAAAAGAACGCAGATATTACACCTCATGGATGATAAACATTTAATAATATGATACAGTAAATATAAAATATTTCACAGTACACGGCAGTTGGCATTATAGAAAGAGGAACACTTCAGCCGTATAGTCCGGTTAACTTTCCGACGGCGGATCCGATTTCCCTCCTCCGTAAGGGTTCTTACAGTTTGAAGCAGATACACGACTTGGAGAAGCGCGATTCCAATACCCACACGTGGAAGTACCGTTTTTTGGGTCTTGTCCAAGTGTTCGCCACCGCGATGACTCTACATCCTGACTGGATCATTTTGTGTAAGTATTATATATATTATGCTGAGGAAGTTATAGGGTTATGTATATTTTCAACGTTTGTTGAAAAGAATCGGTGTCCGGCGCAGTTGAACTTCAAAAATTTATATTATGACCAATGAATATTTCTGTCAATAATTCGCTCGAACTTATGCAAAAAATATATAGTTCTTGCAATTCACGAAGTCGAGCAGGCTTTACTCGTGGTTGAAAGTATACGTGCACATTACGATAGTGTGCGTGTCTGACGTAACCACAGAGCAAATATAAAGAGGAGGTGTTGTAATTAGATTTCACTATATAACGTGTGACAATTTGCGGTGTGAGGGGATGTTAAGCCCCGTCCACTTTACTATTTTCCATCTACCGATAAAGAGTAAAGCTACTCGAATAGTTCCATATCGATGTTGCAATGTAGTTTAGCTACCTTGACAATAGATGGCGGCCTGTTCACAAAGTGATTATAAAAACTATAAAAACAATATTTTGGCGATAAAAAATTCTTTTGGACTGAATGCAAAACAAATTTCAACTCCTTCGTATGATTATTTTACCAATACTGAGCTCTACGTACCTTTATGTTTTTAGTTCCCATGGCACAAAGGGTCGCCATCTAGTGTCGAATATATTTAATTATATTTGAAAGCCGACGCAGAGATTTTTCTAGAACTATTTTAATAAAGTAGGTATAAAATTACTTTAAATGAAATATGATGCCATCCATAGCATCAAAGCGTCTATCGTAAGTAGTCTTTACACGATAAAACACGACACTTCATCCTTTTCTTCTTAATACTACAAAAATACACCGATTTGCGATTTTTGACACATAAGCGCACAGGACGAACGCTGACAGTATACTAAGTAAAGCCACGCCCACTGTAATGACGTCAGGACCTAGTTAGAATCACAGTGCCCAGTTGCTTATGCCATCTCCTCTTTGTATTTGCTTCGTGGGCGTAACGACCAGTAATTGCGAGCGTGCCGTCGCTAACTGTACCCACTTCGGTCTCACGTACACTTGGACATGTATACAGGTACGTGTTTACCACAAACAAAGCCCGTTCGATTTCGTCAATTGTAAGAATTATACTACAAATTGACATTATAGTGTATACTTTCTTTTTCTCTTATTATAATATTAATAGTTATTTAGACTAGGTATATTGATTTTCATTAAATTATAATTAGAGTGCGTTATAATAATATATTATCTTTGTATGAAAGCGTTGCGGTTAAGATTTTTTGTTTAATTTTTCAGTCTTGGAGTGCAAGTGGATATCCAGCAAGCTAAGACGCTGCACGAGAGTATGGATTATTCTAGTGCTGTCCGTCTCTTACACGTTATTTATAATGTCATTACCGTGGTAAGTTACAGTGTATATGCATGTGTTCGTTCGTTTCTGGCATTTTAAAGTCTAATTGCTAAAATTTTACAATCTTTTGAGATTTTTCAAGGAAATATTTCGTTCCAATATGTGTTCATGCCACTTATTGGTACGAAAAATCGCTACACTGAACTACGTTCTTAAATACGAAGAATGGCTTTAACTAAACTATTAAGCTAATATGACGGCACCTTAGCACTCCCGTTGATTCCATCAGTATGTTACAACAAAATTATAACAGATATGAAACAAAAAACTGCAGTTGCCAACCCGCCTGCCACGCGTGACATCTACGGCAAATATTCTCCCTGTGAGGAAATCTATAGATCTATGTTCAGCAGTAATCTTTTAAAAGACCGTAACGGTAACGGTAAGGTTTAGCTCGAAAAAGCAGAATAGACAAAATGACGTGACAATGTAAATGTCGCTCAACGAGCTACGGCTATGCCCCGAGTTTCTCTGCGTGGTAGACCTCGAAATGGAGATGTCATAGCAAATTGGCAATTGATCGGCCATATAATTCGAAGAACTGACAACCGATGGGAAAGAAAGGTTATCGATGGGTTGCCTCGTACTGATACGGAAAGTGTAGAGCGGGCCCTGTCACGACCTGGTAAGAGATTCAGGGAATTGGATGGATGCAGGTGGCTCAGCAACATGACATTTACTGGGGAAGATCCATGTTCAATAATGGACTTCTGAAAGACTGGTATGCTGATGATGTAAACGATTAAAATGAACTTTAAAATAAAAAATGTTTAATATACCTATTTATTTAAAATTAAGTTACCTTTCTAGTGACAACACACAAAACCTTTCTAGTAAAAAATATTTACAACACAAAAGTCACAAATTAAGCACTAGAGTTAAAAGTAGTTACAGTAGCAAAATTGTAATATACACAGTGGCTGATTATCCTTAAGGAAAACTAGACACGTGGCCCCCTAGGGCGCAAGGTTACAAAGGGGCGCACGCGGAAGTTTATAAATAAAAAAAATAAGTGAGTACCTACTAGTACTACCTAGTACTTGCATAAAATAAAAAAATATAATGCAGATGTAGAGCTTCCAATGCGGGCCCTGTCTACTTGATTACTTCTACATCGCCCTCACTCTCTCATCCACATTTTTCACGCCCACGTGTTACGTGTCCTAATTATTTGGAAATTAAACTTTTTTGCAAAAAGTTTTAATTTCTCCTGTTGTAATTATCCTGCGTACTGCCCAAAACATTAGTAAATGCTATTAAAAAAAGAGAATTTTGGAATGTTTTAATTTGTTTTTATGACTGATGAGGCATGTGCGCAGCAGTGGGACGTATATAGGCTGTAACTTTAACTTTAACTTTTAATTATGCGTAATGTTGCGTTATTCCATAATGCAAAAAAAAAAATTGTCAACTTTTTAACTTGAGTTTAAATTTAGGTTTTGTTTAATTTTTAGGGCCAGAGATGACCGGTTTACATTAAGCACAAAAAATACAAAAAAATGTTTTATCAGGATCATCACAGCTTTTTGTCACAACCAATGCGTGTTGTTTAAGTTTTTTTCATCATCAGCACATCCCTTCACAAGTCCACTGCTTAACATAGGCCTCCCCCAAAGAATGCTACAAAGCACGGTCCTGAGTCACCTGCATCCATCGACTTCCTGCATGTCTTCTATCAAATCTGCTGAAGACTGCAGCTTCATTTCCCATGAGATTAAAAGTGATTATAATATACTTTATTTGCAAAATAAGTAGATATAATTTATCATATATGGCCGTCAGAGAGGCGCCGATGAGGTACTAGCAAAGGGCGTTGTCGATATTTAATCCGCCTCTAATACACAAAAACAGAAACTTTTTATTGAGTTTGTATTTTACAGCTCCAAGGGCAAAAGCCAAGCTACATTCATCAAACAACGTAAAAGTTTTCTTCAAATATATGTCGAAAAAATTTGTCATGTGGTAAAATAAAAACAAAACTATTTTACCTCCACCATTTCCAAAAGTTACCATGACATAAGTGTCTTTGAATGTGAATGCGCCTCCTACTCTTCATCAACCTGTAACAGTATACCGCTAAACATGGGCCTCTCCTATAGCAGAGATGATGTGCTATTATCTCATTGTAAGGGAGATTGACAGTTGCTGTACGAAACTTCTCTGCTTCCCGCTCTGGTCTGGGTGTTTTACATCGGGTAAAAATAGTAAATGACAAAGTCATCTGTCAAAGGTCATGACTTATTTCTGGTATTTTGCTAAGTCACTTCATATGACGCCCACGTGACTAGTTGGGGCGACGAATTCGCTTTCGCCGCCACTACACGGCAAACTCCTTATATAATCTGTGCGCGATCAGAATGGGATGGAACCTTGTCAAAGTTAAATGAAAATTACGGTACTAGAGCGAAATAGGGTTGGCAAAGAAATTCTAAATCATTATATTACTTATAGGAATCACGAAAGTACACAAACATGTTTCAAGTTTGTAATTATTTTATTAACATTCCCTTTCGCGATTATTTTTTTAATTTAATTCTCAAAATTTAAATCACGTATCTTTCTTATTTCATAATGTCTACACAATAACTCAAAGCAGCGGCCAGCCTCAGCAGAGTCTACTTCATCTGAGGATGCCTCGTGTGTAGAGGCGAAACACGTGTCGTATTTTCGAGAGTGATTTGTCGTGCATAGTGTGGTGGTGCTGGGGATGGTAGTGCTGAGATTGACGGCGACGGGAATTGTGCGCGCGATTGAGGGAGGGTGGGAGGTCCCCTTAAAACTGGGCAGGACACATCATTTTCTTTCTTTCATTACGCGGAATTAAGCAAATTAGTTTATAACAACCCCATTATAAATAAAAAAAAAACTATTAAATATGTAGACTGTACTAATCACGAACAAAAAAAAACCACGTCTATCGCATTGCGAGCTATGACGCGAGTTTTTCTGACGTTACCGCTGGCGAGACGCCAGCGTGTGCCTCAGTTTCAAAAGTTCATCTCCTGTTCATTACCTGATTACTAAAATAACTCTGTACTCCAGACGGAACTCGGCGGTATTTTTTTTAGTTAAGTAAATACTTTTCTTCAGGTTGATCCATAAACCGTTGTTCGGGTTGATGGTGCTGGGTGGAGCTGCGCTGCCTCTGCTGCATTACTCCCGGCTGCTGTCGCGGCGGGAGGAGGAGGCAGAGCGCGAGGGGTACGCGCGGTGGGGCGATGTGCGCTAACTCGCGTCCGCTCGGATCTTCCCGCAGCTGTTCAGCGCCGCGCTCATGGCTTAGACCATAGTGACCACACTTTCATAGTGTTCGAGACGTCAGTATTGATGAGTAACGGTTACAACGCACAACGCATCACGTACCCACATGAGACCTAAACCGGTGTGTTTACAAACAGTGAACGCAAATAAAACATGGAAACATTCCTTTACAACAGTTCGAAAAATAGTGATGTATTAAAAAATGAATATACCACGTTTCATATTCTTATATTGTCATCCGATTTTGAGCTATGTTCAAAATTTCAAGTCACTAGCTCCTCGGGAAGTCGGTTTAAAATTAGTTACCAAATTCGACCCATCTGTTCAGGCGAAACAAGGGTGTATACATCAAAAGCGAGTAAATAAAAAAGTAAAATTACCTAACGCAAATTGAGCTGCGCTCGGCGTGGCTTACCTATGTTGCGCTACAAGCGAGTTTAGCTCAAATACCGCCACTTTTATATATTGATTATATAATTTGTATTGCAATTTATTGCATAAAACGTCCCTGGCGACGAGAGACGAGCACAATGACGTCAAATAAAATTTGTAATCGATTTATACTACGTATGAGAATTAATTTCTACTTTTTATTGTGCGTACCGATTTGCAAAAATAACCAGTTTCATTGTGTGAGTTTGTTTGAAATATTCTGCTATGTTGCGAGCTTAATTCCCTTGAAGTAATATTTTCATGATTTATTTGCGTTCATTGCTTACAAAATACCATTTTATTTATCTTTTTTATACCATAGTAGTAAAAACAAACACCGACTACAACGCTTGATAGTAAGTAGATAATATGTAGGCACAGTCTGATATTGATGGTATTGCAGTGGTGGGTCTTTGAATATTTTCGTGCCAATGTAATGTAACCGTATTTTTTTTTCAATTTATAACAGATTTTTAAAACTGCTTAATTTAACGTTTTCTTCAATAACGTGATAACGCATTTCGATCAAAAACTGTTACAAAATAATAATGAACGCCAGTTGCGTAGACGGAGAATAGAGAAGATAGGCAAGACCTCAGAGTATGTCAGTAAGAGATAGCGATAGTTCGGCATAAGTACATTACTACAATTACATGCAATTTAAATTGCCATACTTAGACTTTTACCACCATTGTGTGGGTAATTTAGTTCTTTTTATTTTGGTTGTACTACGTCTACGACTAATTTAATTAATTTTCTTTTCTAGGGGGACATATTTATGACTATTTGATTGTAACTGAATGGCTCCGGGATGAACGTAAAGCGCGAAATGAAATGAGTTGTAATGATCATTTTGTTATAATTTATCTAAGATAGTTTATCCTCTCAGAAGCCGCGGCTAATTTACATCGTTTAGGACCGGGTTTAGTAAGCTCGTGGGCTTCCGAGTGTTTATTCTATATTTATAGCTCAACACGTAAATAGTATAATTAAATAAATCATAATCAACTCATAGCCCCGAATGCATTCAGTTCGCGCATAATACAACCGTATCGTAATAAAACAACCGTATTGATTAAGTATAATTCAATTCAATACTTGAATGTAAAAAGTATACATAGTAAAATTATACTTAGGACTAAAGGGTAAACTAATCATTCCTTTGATCTATGTATTGAATAAAAGTTAAAATAACGAATTTAGAAAACCCCCGACAGTAAGACATCTTTAAAAAGTAAAAAAATAATATTTTGATCCACGCGTCGGTCGGGAGGACCGCTAATGAAATAGAAAGTTTTAACAGCCGCTATCCTTTATACACATTTTCGTTAGTTGTATTTTACATTATTTTAGTACCTAGTGGTTTCCCGACGCGTCGACTCTTGCATCAAAATTTTATTTTTAACTTTTTATAGATATCTTACAGTCTGATTTCTTATATTTACGCGAACACTACACACTGAATAAAACTATTTTTTACGGATGTTATAGCGTTTAATTTACTATTTTAATTCCCGACGTTTCGGGTGCTTTACAGCAACCCATGGTCACGGGGGGGGGGGGGGGGGGGTTGACTGAGATGTTTGACGTCCCAATGTCGCAGTTAGCCCGGCTACCTTCAGTTTTTTAAAATTACTATTTGGTTCGATTTAGGCAGAATGAACTTACAGTATCTTGAAGTTGGTAGGAATCGGTGTTCTTTTGCGAGGATTTGTGGTCTATCAAATCTGATGTAATGGCGGGGACGATCTTGAATATGTTACAGACTGCAGACTTCCCAGAGCATCGGTGCCTCACGTCAGCTATATGTTTTTTCACGCGGGTTTTAATGGATCTTTTTGTTTGTCCTATGTAAGAGACACCACATTCGCAATCAAGCTTGTACACTCCTGCATCTTGTAGAGGGATATTACACTTGACGGATGGTAAAAATTGACTAATCTTCTTCGACTGCTTGAAGTATGTTTTAATAGAAGCTCGCTTCAAAATGTAGCCAACATTGTCTGTGACTCCTCTGACATAGGGTAGTACAGCAGGCACACGCTCGACTATGGTCGGCTTCACTCGGTCACTGTGACGTAGGCGCGGGACCCGAAGCTTGTTGTCTTGCAATACTTGCTCGACGTGCTGAACCAATTTCCATAAAATAGACTGATCAAGAATAAACTTACCATAGTACTTTACTTATTCGTTATTTCAATTTCCATAGCAACTTCTTCTGACAGTAAAGATAGGTTAGTAGAACCTAAAGAGTAATTGTGTTCTGTGGTAGGACCATAAATATCTGTCATGGATGAATCGTCAAGCTGAAAAATATGATTATTATTTTAAATTTGTAACATTTATCACCCAAATAAGTACATATTATAATATAGAATACTGAATATAAAATAATAGGTACCAAATAATTCTTTGCTTCTATATCAAAAAAGAAAAATTCATCACAAATAATGTTGATAATAACAATATTATCAACGTTATTTGTGTTGACAATTAGTTGTGACGCTTAACCTTTAACTGTGGACGCGCGGTTTCACAGGTCGCTCGCAGCTTGCAATTTTCATGTTTACCCCTTTCCCCTCGCTCCACGCGTTCTAAGATGCTCAGTGACTTTAGTTTTAGTGGCGAAACGTATGTTGACCACTGCAACAGCGTTCGAGTAAAATTTGTCGAGTCGATGAATTCTTGACTTATGTGGTATCATGCTTATGTTCTATAAAGTGAGTATTCGGCCAAAAAGGTGGTATCCTGAAAAAAATTGCATGATGTTTAGTTCTTCCACATATGCAGACGTACAATAAAGCCAAATATAGCAAATGAACTAAAAATAACACTGAAGCGAGTTTTAGGTATAGATATGCCTCCAGATGAACCTCCTACTCAGGAGACTGATTCATCAAACAAAAAAACATGTCGTATGTTCCCCAAAACTAAAGAGGAAGTCCAACTATAGTTGTATTAATTGTAAACAGATTACAGAGTTCCAAACCCTTGTGCAAGGACTACCAATAATTTGATACATATTGTATCATTGTCAGAATTTTATATTTCAATTTGTTTTTATGTAAGTACTAGCCTTAGATTTAAAGAAAAGAATGTTAATCTTTCTTAAAAGTTTAATTGATTTAAGTTTTCAGTCTTAAAACTGATCTCAAGCAAGTTTTTGCCAAATAGTGCCTTTAACAGTTAATATGCTTCAATTATGTAAGAAATAAATAAACATTAATTAAAAGCACCCGAATTATGCTTAAAAATAATAAATATAATCGCATAAAATAAATATTTAATTAATATTTTGGCTTCATAACATAGCGGCCCAAGAGATCGCGTGTCCATGGTAGTGTGACAAAAAATAACGTCCATAGATAAAGGTTAAAATTATTTGTGATTTCGTTATTTTGTAACAGTAATTTTCACGTCTCAAAGTTAATTGAACGTGTAGAACAAATTAAGTAATATAATTACTTTACCTGGACGAAAAGTGTGGGTAGCGCACGTGGATTTAAGTGGGTACGATTTAATGTTTGTCGAAAGCAACTTTCCTCAAAATGTCATGAGCAAATACGGGAGTGACGACTTGGATGTCAGTTAACTCAGCCTGTACAGTCAATCCGCTTTTTTCTTGAAAATGGATCATTCGGAAAACTAAAAAAAAAAAATTAAATACTTTTAGGGGTAAAAATAATCAATAGCTGGTGTCCCTGTCACGCTATTATCCGACTATTGACAAATGACATGAAGTGACGTAGATTAGACTATCCTAACATAAAGTTTACGTGGTAGAGCCACGCTGCAGCTATATTAGTAGTATAGTTTTAGCACGAATGGGTCGGCTCGACCGGGGAAGGACCACTCTCTCACAGAATACCAGCGTCAAATAGCAGTTTAACACTGCTGTTTCGTATGGTGAGTGTAGAGAACCGGAGACCTTTTTTACTGGAAAAGAGGCATTTCATCTTAGTCCTCACGGGTGACAACGCATCTGCGTTTTGATTCGCAAAGTCTATGGGCCACAGCAACCACTTACCATCAGGTGGACTGTGTGCTCGTTTGTCACTCTATACTATAAAAAAAAAGTGATTCACAATTTGGTCGGTTAATATAAAAAAAAGTCAGGATTTTATCGTCTTTTTACATTAAATTTTCAACAAATTTTGCTTGGTTTTGACATAAAATAGTCTTAAGTACAATAATCCTTTGATTTACTTGCTGTAATAGATAAAAAAATACTACTTACCGATGAACGGTTATGTTTGGTTGATTACAAAATAAGTGTTTCACCATAGATTAATGATAGGTCATCGCGCGCTCTGACTAGATACCGCCGGTGCTCTTGTAAAATGCGGCAACAAATACTACGCCGAAATCGGCGTACAGTTTTTATCAAAGAAAATATTCTGAAACCACAACTTGTTTGCATTCAAAGGCTAATGGTCGCAAACAACAAAAAACCGATACGCAAATATATATACACTATAGGAAAAGTATGCTACGTCCTGCTCATACATACACATTTTCGAATAAAAGTGTTTTTTT